ACAAACAAATGTTTGCATGACTACACAGACCAAGTAAAATAATATAATAAGAAAATATCAAATTGCAACATAAAGCAGCGTAACGAGCAGTTTTTAACATCAAAAAATGAATAGAAGTGAATGAGACCAGAAGTCTCGAGCCAAAAAGATTCAAATGGCAGCGCCCACTCGTCTGCGGAGATTAAGGTGAATACTGATGCCCTGTTTCTCTAGGCTTTATTGGTTCTAATGGTCAGGAATGTTGCACCATTATTGCCTTTTTAGCATAATAAGAGGACAGAAACTAGCTAGATAGTGATGTGTGAATTGTGGAGCGAGCTAAATCTAAAAAATAATAATAATAATTTAATAAAGTCATCTGGAATGACAAAGAAAGCGTTCAGCAGGACTCCCAGAGCTCATCAAGAGTCTTTGTGTTCATCTTCAACGCCTCTTCCTTCATCTTACCCCAGACATGCTCAACAATGTTCATATCTGGTGACTGGGCTGGCCAATCCTGGAGCAGCTTGACCTTCTCTGCTTTCAGGAGCTTTGATGTGGAGGCTGAAGTATGAGGAGCGCTCTCCTGCTGGAGAATTGTCCCTCTCCTGTGGTTTGTAATGTAATGGGCAAACCATGATTTCTCCTTCACCAAACTTGACTGATTTCTGTAAGGATGCTGGTTCCAGTAGGTCTTCTGCAGTGTTGGTGATGATTGGGATGCAGATCAGCAGATGATTCAGCAGAGAAATCCACCTTCTGACACTTTTAAACGATCAACTAGAAGTCCAGTTATTATTTCTTGCTCTTAAAACTCCAAGACAAGACTTTTGTCAGGTAGTGTGTACTTATTAGTTACCTAAAAGTGACAAGTAAACCCGTTGTAACTTGAAACGTTTAAGTTGATTTAATTTTAATAGTCATTCAAAGTGTTCCCCCTTTTTTAAAATAAAGTCAACTAGTCACTCTTTACAGTGTAGGGAGGTTTGTGTATCACAGTGAAGTAAACATCACGCTTGCATTATTAGAGCAGACTCCTTCAACAACCTGAGAAGAGCGTCTCTCGCTCTGTTTGCTCTGCGTTGCATTGTTGTTAATGCCAACTTCTGCGATGGCTGCCAGAATGCAGGAGCGAGCGAGAGAGAGAGAGACGCGAGTTCAAGTGTGAAGTGGAGCAGAAGTAATTTCTGAAATGCGAAGCAGCCAAACTGGAGGCCTAATCCTCTTACACGGGGAGACTAACAAACAGAGCTGACAGAGTTTTAGCGCGCGCTCAAAGCTTGTGCACGATCAGCAAGCGAGCCCAGAGTCTCCGCACTTAATCTGAAGGGCTTGTGGAAGACGTTTATGAACATCGGTGTTTACTGCCGCAGACTCGAGTGGCTGTAATAAAACCTGCAGAGAGAGTCGCGCTGACCCTCCTGCTGGAGTTTGTTAAAGGGACGGCTCACTAAAAATGATCAGCTTAAAAAGAATTGTAGTGAACGTGCACATTTGAAGGATGTCTTTAAAGACCTTACAGCTTTTAATAATATATTAATGACACAAATGATTGTATTTATTGGTCTTGCAGGTGCATTAAGTGTGTGTTTACATCGAAAAATTAATGGAAAAGTAGTGCACTGAAATGGAAAAGTAAGTTGTGTCTGAACACTTTGGAAAATGCACTTTTTAATTCTATATTATATGTATAAATCTATAAAATCATGTCGGATTTTACATTGAACAAATTTCATTTTCATTTATTCATTCCTTTTATTTTCGGCTTAGTCCCTTTATTAATCTGGGGACACCACAGTGGAATGAACCACCAACTTATCCAGCATATGTTTTACGCAGCGGATGCCCTTCCAGCTGCAACCCATCACTGCAAAACATCCATACACTCTCATTTACACTCATATACTACAGACAATTTAGCCTACCCAATTCGCCTGTATCGCATGTCTTTTGGACTGTGGAGGAACATGCAAACTCCACACTACTGACCCAGCTGAGGCTCGAACCAGCGACCTTCTCTCTGTAAAGCGACAGCACTACCTACTGCACCGCATCGCCGCATTTCATTTTGGTATATGTAAAATTTTAAGTGCACTTATATTTTTGATGCATTGACTAACATACTTAAGTATTAAAAATTATTTACACTTTATCTAAAAAATTCTGGGTTTTTGATGTAGACAAACTCAATGTTGATTTTTTTCCAATTAAATTATAATTAAATATATTAGAATTAAAGATTTTAGAATAATATTATTTGAATACAATATGTTTAGAGTGTAGTATTTAAAACTGGGCCTTATATATATTTATATACAGTGCATCCTGAAAGTATTGACAGCGTTTCACTTTTTAATTGTAAGTATATCATGACTTTTTTAAAGATGGAAACTAAATTTATTTTATTTTATTTTATTAATATCTCCTAAATGGCCTAATTGAACTAAGGACTAATCCTGGGTTAGTCTAAACCCTGTGGGCTCTATTTTGACGGTCCATGCGCAGAGCGCAAAACGCAGGGCGCAGACGCTTTCAGGGCGTGTCAGGACGCGTTTTGCTAATTTAAGGACGGGAAACCTGCTTTGTGACGTGGCGCATGATCTAAAGGGTTGAGTTTATTTTTTTAATGAGTTATAGGTGTGTTTTGAGAATAAACCAATCAGAGTCTCATCTCCCATTCCCTTTAAGAGCCAGCTGCGTCACACCAAGAGCGCATTCGCTATTTACAGGACGCAAAGTAAGTCTAAGTGGAAAAACTGAGCATTTCACAAGCAAACAGTTCACAGTTTATTAACAGAAAACAGTTAAACAGAGCATCTACTGCGTGAGAATGAGAGATAATGGATCACTTTCACTTTAACTCTTGTATAGGGAAACCTTTACACACAGACATCAATTAGTCTATAAATAAATACTTTTGTTTGTTAAGCGCAAATATTCGTTTCAAAACTATTTCTAAATTCAGTTCTAATTTCCAGCAAACGAATAAATGAATAATAAAAACAAAATGTGCTCAAAAACCTGAGTTATATCCTAAAACACATGCTGTGCAAATCCAAGCTTGTTTTTAATAAAACAAATATAAATATGGATATAATAAATAATACTGATAATAATAATAACATTATACAAAAGCAAATTGTTATGAATGAACAGAAAAAGCCTCCCGAGATGAAGAAGACATAAAAGCAGTGATTTTTCATATTTATGTAGGCTAGAAAATAATGTTTTGTAATATTTTAATCCTTTATATTTATATTCTATATCTATTATTATTATATCCTATATATATCCTTAGTATTTACATTTTTTCATATGTAAAGATATTTGCCTATTGCTCTCTTGTATGTATTAAGCAGTGTGTAAGCGAGGAGCAACTCTGCGCTGGAGTTTAGACCGGGTTAGTTTTGGTCTAATGCAAAATCTATTATAGTTTCTCAAAATAGCAACGCGCCAGCGGTCAGAACACCTTCCTTTTTAGACCAGAATGTCTATGGGCGCACAAATGAGCGCTAATGCATTTGCTATTTAAACAGCGTAGCGCAACGCCTCAAAACCACTCTTGCGCCAAGCTGAAACTACCAAAAGACTACTGCGCCGTGCCCTGCGCCACACTGCGCCGGGTGTATGATAGGGCCCTGTGTGTGCAGCCAGGCCTTAAATATTTTATCTTTCAATTCTAAATTGATTAACATACTACAATTTAAAATTCCAGTCATGCACTTTAGTTTGTTAGTCAGTGCATTGAAAGTATAATAAGTGTACAGTAATAAAAAATGAAAGAACAATATTAATTGTATATTTATTGTACTTTTTTTTTTTTAAGTATTTCAAAGTGCAATTTTTATGTGTCCCTAAACAATTATTAAGTAAACACATGAGGACTTTCACTTTTAAAATTATACTTCAGTGGATGGAAAAACATTCTGCAATTGAGGGTATATGCGGAAGCATGCTAATAGGACTTTGAATTTGCCAGTAACCTGGGTTAAGCGCTTCCGTTGAACTGTATGCCAATGCAAAACTCTGCGCATTTAAGGTCTGTTTCCTTTAAAAATCATCGATCTCCAATGCCTGAGTGATATCTGATATAAAGAGGGGCTCAGATTGTACAAGAAGCTCTGCTTTAATTTACATTTCCCCCGCCATGTCTTTATAATATGAGCATTTATTTTACCCCAGTATATTCAATGGAGCTTCTGCGCTAGCCTGCTGATTCTGACAGGCCCGTGCGAGCAAGCGGCTTTTTGTCTCGTTTTACACTTGAGCAACTAAATGAATGCCAAAGTTTATTTAACTGATTGTATTTTAATTACACTACAACATCGATGCTGTAAAAGGAACCGTATAAAATAAAAAAATCACAGATCACCGGAAGTTTATCAGTACGGGAAAAACACTAGCTCGGTATATATACCCTATTGCAATTAACATGCAATAATATTACATGTAATGTACGCTCAAATGTATTATTCATAGCATGGACAGAAATCACAGGTTGTTTAATACATCATTACGGAGATGCTCATGTGTAAAAGACACACAGGCACTGATATAATGGCAAAGAAAGAGCTGTAAATCACTAGAGTACAGATCTGTGAAACCAGGCTGGAAAGACAATGGTTTAATAAGCAATTAAAACCAACAACAAATGTTTTAAGGAAATGACTTAACACATGGCGATGTGAAGTGCATGTTATTTTTCTCACCGAGAGATGCTTTTTTTTGGGCGGTGGGTGCCGGGGTAATTGATGTGAAATGGTCTGCACTTCATCAGGAGTGTGCGCTGGAGTCGGGGAGGGAAATAAAAAGTTAATTAAGCAGCTCCTGAATGTAATGAAAAACATGTGTGCACAGATGGCTGGGAGGACAAATTATCAGCCGAAATTATCAAAACAAATGAGTTCTCCGCGCTCTTTCAAGGCTATTTATATATTCGGATGCGTCATGAAAGAAGTAAAGCGAAGTACTTGGAGCACACAAAGTGAGGAGGAATTTACATTTGTCGCTCTCTCTTGTAGACGCCGTGTGTTAGCTCCGATCTGAAGAGCAGCAATGAAGGGTTCTCAGCTCAGCTCAATGGACAGCCTTCACCTGAAGAGTACAATCACATCATCCGCTCCATGGCCCAGGTAACACAACAACATCCAGCCATGCATACAATTATCTGTGCATTCATCCATTCATACATGCATACATTGATTAAAAATATCATGCATACATTAAAAAAAAAAAAATATATATATATATATATATATATATATATATATACACACACACACATACACGTACAGCTATGCATGCATCCATCTATTAATCCATCCCTTCATATGTACTATTCATGCATCCATTAATTCATGTGTTCATTCACCTATCTATGCATCAATTAATAAATTTTATACATTCATTCATTCAACCTTTTGTTCAAATATGCATGCATCTGTTCATTTATCCATTCATCCATCCATCCATCAATCTGTGTCCATTCATAAAATCATCAATTCATCCATTCATCATCCATATATGCATTTATCCATCCCTGTTTTCATTCATCTGTGCACTCATCCATCCATCCATCCATCATGGCATGTATGCATTCATCTATTGATGCATTTGTTGATCCATCCCTCAATCCATATATGCACCATTCATGCATCCACATCTCTTTGTTCATGCCTCCTTCTATACACATATTCATCCATTCATTTATTCACCTATTCATGCATATATACATTCATTTGTTTGTTTATTTCTTTGTTTCTTTGTTAGTTCATTCACTCTTCCATTCAACAATGCACATGTCTGTTCATTCATTCATTCATTCATTGATGCATTCATCAGTTCATCCATCCATCTATTCATGCATCTATCCATCCATTCATTTATCCATATATTTATATATCCATCCATGCATCCATTCATTCATCCATCCATTCCATCATCCATCCATTCATTTATACATCCATAGATTCATTCATCCATCCATCATCCATCCATTCATCCATTCATGTATTTATATATCCATCAATTCATCCATCCATTTACCCATCCATCTGTTCATCTATGTATCCATCCATCAATACACGCATCTATTCATGCATACATCTATTTATCAATCCCTGCATCCATTCATGAATCCATCTATTTATGCATTCATTCTTCCATCTATCCATCCATCTATCCTTTAATTCATCCATATGTTTATGCAGCCATCTGTCCATTTATCCATCCATATATTTATGTATTCATTCATGCATTCAATCATCCATCCATTCACCTATTCATCCATGCATGCATCCATCCATCCATCCACCATTAATGCATACATATATTCATCCATCGATTTATCTCTCCATTTACCCATCCATCCATTCTTCCATCCATCTATCCATCATTCATCCATCTATACATCCATCCATCCATGACATGTATTTATATATGCATACATCCATTTATGCATTCATGCATTTATTCATCCATATATATATATATATATATATATATATATATATATATATTTATGTTAATCCATGCATCCATTCACTCATCCATTCATCTATCCATATATTTATATGACTCCATTCCTCTATCCATTCAGCCATCTATGCATTCATCCATCCATCCATTCAAAAATCATCCATCCATGCATCCATCCATTCATCCATCCATTCACCCATTCATGCATCCATCCATTTACCCATCAATTCATCCTTCTATCAATTCATCCATTCATGCATCCATGCTATCATTTATCCATTCATATTTATTTTCATCCATTCATCCATCCATTCATCCATTCACCCATTCATCCATCAATTCATCTATTCATCCTTCCATCTATCTGTCCATCCATTCATCAACTCATCCATCCATCCATCAATCGAACAATGCCTCCATCTGTCTCAGTCAAACATAAGAGGCAGTGTTCAGTGTTCCATTAGATGTTTGTATCTTCAGTAATTCAGTAACAGACCTCACATTTAGACATTTTCTTTCTGAGAGCATCCAAACATTGTGCGATTACGTGGCTTTGATGTTGTGTTTGTTTGTGTGTGTGTGTGTGTGTGTGTGTGTAGGGTCGGTACGTGACTCAAATTGACCTACTGAAACCGGTATCAGGCGGTTTGGGCTTCAGTGTTGTTGGACTGTGCAGTGAAAATCGCGGAGAACTTGGCATCTTCATTCAGGAGATTCAGCCTGGAAGTGTGGCATACAGGTCAGAACACACACACACACACACACACACACACACACACACAAACACACAAACTCCATCTACAATACTCTCTCTCTCTCTCGCATACACACATTTACATGCACGAATGCACAGATTTGTTTTCCTATCTTAGTGGGCACATTACATAGACTTCAGTTGCTTTTCTCTAAGGTTAATAATGCTGTCTATGGATAATCATGTTTACAAGTCGTTCATTTTCTTTTTGTCTTAGTCATTTTATTATTTTGGGGTCGCCACAGTGGAATGAACCGCCAACTTATCCAGCACATGTTTTACTCAGTGGATGCCTTCCAGCTGCAACCCATCACTGGGAAACACCTATACACATTCACACACATACACTGCGGACAATTTAGCTTATTAAACCCCCCTAAAGCGCATGTCTTGGGACTTGTGTGGGAAACCGGAGCACCCGGAGGAAACCCACAAGAGCACTGGGAGAACATGCAAACTCCACATAGAAACGCCAATTGACCTATCCGAGGCTCGAACCAGTGACCTTCTTGCTGTAAGGCGTACGTGCTGCCCACTGCATCACTGTGCAGCCCCTTTACAAGCGACAATTACTAGATATTATAACAACATTATAACTTAGAGCAATTGAGCTCTGACACGTATAACTAAAACATCGCACACACACACACACTGATCCTCATCACTCGTGTCAGATGTTGAGTGATTTGTTAACACATCTCCTCTTGCGTTTTCTCCTTCTAAAAATAGCGATTGCTCACGTGTGAATCTGCTGTGATTCTCCCTCCCAATCACAGACGTGTCACCAGTTCAGGTCACGTCAGCATTTTTCAGCTCAAAGTCACAGCAAAAGCCCATTTGCTGACGCGTCGGTGCTTTTTAGTCGTTTGGTGTCTCTTTGTGAGAGCAAATATTCGACTCATTATGTGTTCTTGCACCACAAAAGCAGTGTTGGGTAATTGAGCACGGGTCAGTCATTTACTCGCCATTGAAAGGGTCTCTGTTATTTTGTCTAGACTTTGATTCATTCATTCATTCATTTTCTTGTTGGCTTAGTCCCTTGATTAATCTCGGGTCGCCACAGCAGAATGAACCGCCAACTTATCCAGCACGTTTTTACGCAGCGGATGCCCTTCCAGCTGCAACCATTCACACATCATACACTACGGACAATTTAGCCATCCCAGTTCACCTGTACCGCATGTCTTTGGACTGTGGGGGAAACCGGAGCACCCGGAGGAAACCCACACGAACGCAGGGAGAACATGCCAACTCCACACAGAAACGCCGACTGACCCAGCCGAGGCTCGAACCTGCAACCCAGCAACCTTCTTGCTGTGAGGCGACATCACTACCTACTGTGCCACTGCGTCACCACCACAGGACATGTCTCCAAAAATGAGTCTTTTCCCAGCAAGGTTATTATAGTTAACGAAAACGAACGAAAACTAAAATGTAAAATAATTGTCGTTAACTGAAATAAAAACGAGAGTTTTTTAAAAAACTAGAACTGACTGAAGCTGTTTTATGTACATACAAAACTAACTAAAACTAACTAGAATTATAGCAAAAACCTCCTTCGTTGACAACCCTAAGACATGCGGTACAGGTGAATTGGGTAGGCTAAAGTGTCCATGGTGTTTGAGAGTGTGAGTGAATGAGTATGTGTGGATGTTTCCCAGAGATGGGTTGCGGCTGAAAGGGCATCCACTGCATAAAAACATTGCTGGATAGGTTGGCGGTTCATTCCGCTGTGGCAACCTTGGATAAATAAAGGAACTAAGCCGACAAGAAAATGAATGAATGAATGTCCTGTGCTCTGATGGAGCTAAGACTGAACTGTTTGGCTGTAATGAGCAGTGCTATATTAGGAGGACAAAGGGGAAAGCTTACAAGCCTAGCAACACCATCCCAACTGTGCAGTATGGGGGCGGCAGCATCATGTCTGTTTTGCTGCAGGAGGGACTGGTCCACTTCACAGCATAGATGGCATCATGAAGAAAGAACATTATGGAGAAATACTGAAGCAACATCTCAAGACATCAGCCAGGAGATTACAACTTGGCCACAAATGGGTCTTCCAAACAGACCATGACCCTAAACACACTGCCAAATGAGTTCAAATGTGTGTTAAAGACAGCAGAGTGAATGCAAAAAAATGCAAAGGTGCATCAAAAATGCATTACAAACATTTAATCTCTGAAACAAGGTCAAATAATTCTTACTACATGTTCATTTCATGGTTTTAATATTGATATCGATGGTGGTCTGTTTAGCATAGAGACAGATTGTATTACTATTCTTTTGTGCTGCTGTGGTGCTGCTCTTAATAAGAGCTTGAATATTGCCCTCAGAACAGGTTTGGTTGTTACTAATCATATGTTCTCTGTCCTAGTGATGGGAAACTGAAGGAGGGCGATCAGATACTGGCGATTAATGGTCATCCACTGGATCAGAGCGTCAGTCACCAGCAGGCCATCGCTCTCCTCCAGCGGGCATCGGAGAGGGTCACCCTGAGCGTGGCCCGCGGGCCAGTACCGCAGCTCTCCAGCCCCGTGGTGTCCAGAACACCCAGCGCCGCCAGCACACTGTCTGCACACTCCAGCGCGGTGAGATTGAGCAACACATCCATGCATACCTGTTTACATTCATTCATTCATTCATTCATTCATTCAATTATCCATTCAATCATTCATCCATTCATTCATCCATTAATTCATTCATCCATTCATTTATCCATCCATTCATCCATTCATTCATTCATTCATCCATCCATTCATCTATCCTTTCATTCATTCATTCATTCATCTATTCATTTATTCATTCATCCAATCATTCATCCCTTCATTCATTCAGTCATTCATTCATTCATCCATTCATTCATTCATTCATCCATTCATTCATCCATTCATTCATTCATTCATCCATTCATTCATTCATTCATTCATTCATTCACCTATTAATTCATTCATTCATTCATCCATCCATTCATCCATCGATTCATTCATTCATCCATTCATTCATCCCTCCATTCATTCATTCATCCATTCATTGATCCATTCATTCATTCATCCACCCATTCATTCATCCACCCATTCATTCATCCATCCATTCATCCATCGTTTCATTCATTCATCCATCGTTTCATTCATTTATCCATTCATTCATCCATTCATTCATTCATCCATTCATTCATTCATTCATCCAGTCATTCATCCGTTCATTCATTCATTCATCCATCCATTCATCCATTCATTCATCCATCCCTTCATTCATTCATCCATTCATTCATCCATTCATTCATTCATTCATCCAGTCATTCATCCGTTCATTCATTCATTCATCCCTTCATTCATCCATTCATCCATCCATTCATTCATCCATTCATTCATTCATTCATTCATTCACTTATCCATTCATTCATTCATTCATCCATTCATCCATTCATTCATCCCTTCATTCATTCATCCATTCATTCATCCATTCATTCATTCATTCATTCATCCGTTTATTTATTCATTTATTCATTCATTCATCTATGAATGCATGCATGCATTCATCTCCTGATGCATTTATCCATCCATGAACTACTTTGAGAACTTAACCCAGTTGAAAATAACCTGACGCTCGGCTGAATAATCTGCAGTTCAGATCTGCGAAAGTGGTCTGGCTTTGGCTGAATGAGTTGGTCTGAGTATGATTGAAAATATACTCTGCAGAGGCATTTCCACCCAATGGACCAACACACCAGACTGCATTATAAATCGAAACGTGAAAAGCCTCACATAAAAGTGGCAGTTACTGACTCTATTAAAAAGAAATATCTTTTTTTTTTGGGAAGGAGACGCCACTTGAATGACAAAAATATGTGTTGAAAGGTTGCATAAGTTCTGTTTCATGTCTCCGGGTCTCCAAAGGATGGCTAAGCCTGTGAATGTTCCTGCTGCGCGTAGTGGGGAGTGAGACATACTAGAAATGTGACAGACCCTTTTTTGTAAAAGAATAGGACCCCCTCCTGTTTTCCTTTTGGGTCTGCAGATTATTCAGCCGAGCTTCAGGTTATTTTCAACTGGGTGAAGTTCTCAAAGTAGTTCTTGGTGAAAAACAAAAGTTTGTATATAACACTTGTTAATCGGAGCTTTTACATTGTTTAGTTATAGGAAGTCAGATATAGGAATGAAGGGACATATATAGCAAACAGCAACATTGAGGATGCCATGATTGTAGCTGTAGGACTGCAGGATATTGGGAAAATCTGATCTTGCAATATTTTATTTTTGTGCAATAAATATTGCATTATGAATACTGCTTCACAATATGGTTTGAATAGCTCTATCTGGTCGTTTTCTGAGGAGTTTGACAGTATTCAGGTACAGAAATTGCATGGTCACAATGCCAAAAATGCGGTTCAAGTTTATTAGTGACCATAACTTTACTAGCTGCTAATTCTTACTTTGCTTTGTCTCCTTTCTAGTCCAAATATTAAAACAAATTCCTAGATCAACTAATAATATTGTTTTGTTTTCAACTTTAGAAGAAATGAAGTTGTTTTTGTGTCAGAATTAAGAGTTTTCCCCTAAAACAAGTCAAATTATCTGCCAGTGGGGTAAAATAATTTTGTTTTCACTTTGAAATCTAGATATTTGAGCTAGAAACAAGACATTCATTCATTCATCTTCCTTCAGCTTAGTCCCTTAGGACCACCAACCAATGAACCACCAACTTATCCAGCATATGATTTACACAGCGATTGCCTTTCCAGCTGCAACCCAATACTTGGAAACACCCATTCACAATCACACACTACGGCCAATTTAGTTTGTGGGGGAAACTGGAGCACCCAGAGGAAACCTACGCCAGCATGGGGAGAACACGCAAACTCGACACAGAAACGACAACTGACCCAGCCTGGGCTTGAACCAGTGAATTCCTTGCTGTGAGGAGACCGTGCTAACCACTGAGCCACTGTTTCACCACTATAGCTGCACAATATTGAAAAAAAAATTATTTTTGTTTTAATTTTCTGCAATAAATATTGCATTATGAAAACAGCTTCACAATATGGTTTGAATCGCTCTATCTGGCGTTTTTTTGAGGAGTCTGACAGTATTCAGGTACAGAAATCGCTTGATCACAATGCAAAAAATGCTGTTCCTTTAATTCAATTCAAGTTTATTAGTGACCATAACTTTATTAGTTGCTAATTTTTACTTTGCCTTCTCATTTTCAGTCCAAATATTAAAACAAATTCCTAGATCAACTAATAATATTGTTTTGTTTTCAACTTTAGAAGAAATTAAGTTGTTTTGTGTCAGATGTAAGAGTTTTCCCCCTAAAACAAGTCAAATTATCTGCCAGTGGAGTAAAATAATCTTCTTTTCACTTTAAAAGATATTTGAGCTAGAAACAAGACATTCATTCATCTTCCTTCAGCTTAGCCCCTTAGGGGTTGCCACAGCGGAATGAACCACCAACTTATCCAGCATATGATTTACACTTTGATTGCCCTTCCAGCTGCAACCCAATACTAGGAAACACCCATTCACATTCATACACTACAGCCAATTTAGTTTGTGGGGGAAACTGGAGCAACCTACGCCAACAGGGGGAGAACATGCAAACAGCAGCAGACCCAGCCTGGGCTCAAACCAGCGAATTCCTTGATGTGAGGTGACCGTGCTAACCACTGAGCGACTGTTTCCCCACTGCAGGTGAACAATATTTAAAAGATGTGATTTTTGTTTTTAATTTTCAGCAATAAATATTGCATTATGAGTACAGCTTCACAATATGGTTTGAATCGCTCTATCTGGAGGTGTTTTTGGCTCCAAACCAAGCTCTGCAACCTCTTAGAGAAAGGTTTCTACGGTAAGTCAGCAGTGTTCAAGTTGATCGTTGTGTTTTGTTCAGTTACCTCTCTTTAGAGTCAGTTTGAGAGACCAAATCGTTTCCTTACAACACTGTGTTGCCTGTCTCCAAGCAGTGCCCACAGTTTTCTTGAAGTTTGGACAGACTGATGCTGTCTGAGGCTTCACATGACAGAAACGGGCCGGGGAGATCAAGTGTGCTTGTTGACTCTCAGGAAGTCAGACTGAATTCCTGTGGGATTTCTGTGAAAATGCAGAGGTGATCACAGCTGACATTTCCCTTTAAGGTTGCGGGGCTGTTTTTAGCATGCAATATTAACCCAAAAGCTTGTCTTTACTAGACATCTGCATGGACATGTTTTGCTTAAAATTCTAAGAAGATGAAACTAAACAGCCCTTGTTGAATTAACATGTAACTTTAAGTGTTCACCCTTGGCTGATGATTGATTATAAAGCTTGTTTAGCATGCTGTTCGTGGAGAGAGCCCTGAGCTCATTAGATCCTCGAGCCAGGGGCTCCCTTCCATTTGCAAAGCGAGAGGGGAGTTTGAGTCAGAGCAACAATGAATAAGTGCTGTAGGCAAGTTTCAGGTATGTGAAGTGTAAGAAGCAAAACATTAGTAATTGTTTTTTTTGTTTTTTGTTTTGGTAGTACAGTTAGCAGCGGGGTCAGAGAGGCAATTGCAGATTAGGACGGAAAGTGGAGACTAAATAGTTGAGTTTTTAGTCGTTTCTTGAAGACAGCGAGTGACTCTGCTGTTCTGATGCAGTTAGGGAGATCATTCCACCAACTGGGCAGATTGAACGCGAGAGTTGGGGAAAGTGATTTCTTCCCTCTTTGCGATGGAACCACGAGGCGACGTTCATTCACAGAACGCAAGTTTCTGGAGGGCACATACATCTGCAGAAGTGAGAGCAGATAAGAAGGAGCGAAGCCAGAAGTCGCTTTGTAGACAAACATCAGAGCTTTGAATTTGATGCGAGCAGCAACTGGCAGCCAGTGCAAACGGATGAGCAGCGGAGTGACATGTGCTCTTTTAGGTTCATTAAAGACCACTCGTGCTGCTGCGTTCTGGAGCAGCTGAAGAGGTTTGATAGAGTTAAAGTCCGGCTAGTAGACAGTTGCAATTGTCCAGTCTGGAGAGAACAAGAGCTTGAACAAGGAGTTGAGCTGCATGTTCAGATAGGAAGGGTCGGACCTTTCTGATGTTACAGAGTGCGAATCTGAGCATGTGATCAGAGAAGTTTAGTTGGTCATCAATCGTTTCTCAAAGGCTTTTCATAATTTTGAATGCAGTAATGGTTGCCCCATCTATCTGGATTGAAAAGTTATGATATAGAGTCGGGTTGGCAGAAACTTTAAGCATTTCCATTTTCGTGAGGTTAAGCTGAAGATGATGATCTTTCTTCCTGTGTGAAATATCCAACATGCAGGCTGAGATGCGAGCTGGAACCGAGGGATCATCAGGGTGAAAAGAAAGGTATAGCTGGGTATGAGTTCCAATGGCTGCATGAAGAATAGGGTCAACACTTTTGTATAGGACAAATATTGCAGTTCAGATTACACCGAGCAGCATCAATAACAAGGATGAGGATCTTTTCTTTCAAAACACTGTCATGCTGAGAGGTCTGCGGTGCCTACGTGACACTCGATAGTGCTCAATCATGCTGTGTTATTCTATCAGGAGCGTAACTGTTATGAGTCACGGCTGTGGGAGACTCTTTCAGCAGCAAACATGTGGTCTTCTGCTTGGATGTGGGTGAGTTGTGATACTATTGATATTTATTGGTCATCCACTGGCTTAATCAGAGGTGTGAATAGTTATGAATGCATCAGTATGGAAAGTGTCTGCTCACTTTAATGGGATGCATTACTTGTGAGATGTTTCAGGTCATGTGGTGTTTTGTTGGTGGCTGCATTGCATCTCTTTTGGTGTTGATTGTATTGTGATCTCTGTTAGGTGCAGCAGAAACATCCATTTGGTTTCTGGTCATTTATTAATCATCTGGAGATTTCAGAATCACTGATATATTTGTAACCCACAACAAACGAAACCAATATGCATACATGGATGCACTAATGAATGTGACATTACCCCGGATAGAAATCTGATGTAAACGTGAATTAAATAGATGACTAATAAGGTCATGTTTGGATTTCACATATACAGTTGAAGGCTTGTAGTTAGCCCTCATGTAAAATTTGCATGGTGGCTCAGTGGTTAGTGTCGCCTCACAACAAGAAGGTGAGAGCAAGTCCTCCAGGTGCTCCGGTTTCCCCCACAGTCTAAACACATGCGCTATAGGACAATTGATGGACTAAATTGGCTATAGTGTATAAGTGTGTGTGCGAATGAGTGTGTATGGGTACAGTGCTGAAATAGTTGGCGGTTCATTCTGCTGTGTCGACCACTGATAAATAAGAGATTAAGCCAAAGGAAAATGAATGAATGAATGAATGAATGAATGAATGAATGAAGAACAGAGTTGATCAAAGCGTTGTTTACATTTTAATTATTTTATTATTTTAATTATTTATTATTTTATTTATTATTATATATATATATATATATATATGTCAGCTTTCCCTATGGCTCATGTTTGTCACTTGCTGTTTGTATTTAGTTCTTTTTATATCATTGTGTTTTTTTAGACCCACTGGACTCATGTGGAGACCATTGAGCTGGTCAATGATGGAACCGGACTGGGTTTTGGGATTGTTGGTGGTAAAACCACTGGAGTTATTGTGAAAACCATCCTACCTGGAGGCATCGCTGATCAGGTGAAGGCATTTAGGTCAGAAATGACCAGTTTTACCTTCTCTTGCACTATATCTGTGTCTCCTATAATATGCATCTCTTTTTGACTGATTTTCTTCGCCACAGCCTTAATCCCTAAGTGTCCACTTTATTTTGCAATATGTTAAATGCAATTATTTATATAGGTAGAAAAACAGAGCAACAGTTGCAGTTTTGTCCAACATTTGCATTTAAAGATAGTTTGGTCACACTGTACAATAAGGTTCATTAGTTAATGTTAATTAATGCATTTATTAACATGAACAAACATTGAACAATACATTTACTGCACTATTTATTCATGTTAATTAACGTTAGTTAATTAAAATACAGTTGTTCATTGTGAGTTCATGTTAACTCATGGTGCATTCACTAATGTTAACAAGCATGGACTTGGATGTTAATAATGCATTAGTAAATGTTCAATTATGATTAATAAATGCTGTACATGTGTTGTTTATGATTAGTTCATGTTAGTAAATGCATTAACTCATGAACCTTATTGTAAAGTGTTACTGATAATTGTCTGTCACATGCTTATAACTGTGTCTTTAACAATACTTCATGTATAAATTATTGTCTGTTGCAGAGTTGTTGTTATGATGCATACAAATGATCAGTGGACAGCCATGTTTTTGTCAAAATTCCCTATCAATTTAACAATACATTTTTTTAGTTAAACCCACCTGTTTCCCTTACATATCAGAGAGACACCAAGAGACTAACATTTCCCATGAAATATATATATATATATATACATATATTGTCTTGTTTTAAAAAATAATAAGACAAAGTTAAGTGAATTTTTCCTTGAAACAAGCTAAATAATCTTGTTTTTCCTTTTGGCGTAAATTGATTTGAACCCCAGTTTTTCCTGGCATACTAAGCCAACAAAGACTTGTTTGTTGTTGTTTTATTGGTGTTTGTGTCATGTGAAATGACATTAAAAGGGCACCTATTATGCAAAAATTTTTTTATAAGTGGTTTCAACCCAGTCGTGTGTCAGCAGTGTGTGAATATAACCAGCTTCCAATGGTAAACATTTATTAATTCTATTGTTTATAATCAGACTTGATGAAATCAGTCTGCAGAAACACTTTGATTGACATTCTCACTTTGCACGTGTCATCAGAGAAGGAAAGCCCCGCCCACTAGTGACCATCTCTCCCTCATTAGTGTAAGACTCTGCCATTATGCTGACACACAGGTATTTGTAGCTCCGCCCTCTTTTGAAAAGAGCACAATCTCATTTGAATATAAAGTCACCATAACACCACAATTAGGATCAAATCCTGAAAGGGTCAGTTTGAGAGCGTTATAAACATTATCTGTGTGCTATTTTGAGCTGAAACTTCACACACACACAAACAGGTGCACATGAAAATGATTCAATCATTGTGTAATAAAAGGTTGTCACATAATCTGTTTTTCTTCAACGTCTCTGTTATTGGTTGTAGGATGGGCGTTTGCGAAGCGGCGATCACGTCCTGCGCATTGGGGATACGGATCTGTTGGGTCTGAGCAGTGAACAGGTCGCTCACGTCCTCAAACAATGTGGAAACAGAGTCCGATTGCTGATCAGCCGCGGGATGGCAGACGACGTTTCGGCCGCTCCTGTTTCCCTGCCCACCGTCAATGAGCAACAGGTACAGATATCCCTGTCAGAACAAACCACTGTTATACAATGACTGGCCTTATTACCCTAACTTTACCCTAATTAACCTAGTTAAGCCTTTAAACGTCACTTTAAGCTGAATACTAGTGTCTTAAAACTATTATGATTAGATAGGGGGACTAATAATAAGGGTTGGATACTGAAACCCAGTACCATTATAGCACCGGTACCTTTGTAACTGGTATGTACCAGATCAATTCAGCATATGAAATTCAGTGGCTAATTTCGGTGCTACTGGTGCTGTGACAAGGACATACGAAGCATCAAGAGGTGCATCTAGGGCTGGATTAAGAACAAACTGGGCCCTGGGGTTATAGCAAATGCAAGGGCCCCCCTTTTATTTTTTTACCTGTCAAAATAAATAAATTATATATATATATATATATATATATATATATATATATATATATATATATATATATATATATATATATATATATATATATATTAGGGATGTAACGGTATCAGAATTTCACGGTACGGTAATACCTCGGTATGAATGTCACGGTACGGTATTTATTGAATCATTTACAGCAAAAAACAAAACTTATGAAAATACTCCAAAAAAGTGCCAAAAGTGTCAATGACATACAAATTAGCCATCTATCTGTAAGCTTTGAAACAGGAACTTCAATATTAATAACAAAAAAATATTAAACCATGTAAAAAAATAAAGTTTCAATTTAGTATTGTTGAAAACTCGTCACATTCAACATTTAATCACTCACTCACTTAGATAGAGATGGGTTTAAAGGAAAATTATCATATAAATATAATCTGGTAAAAGCTGGTATCTCTGGGTATTTACAATGTCCCCTGCAACAGAAAAAAACTCTCTCATTTGGGACTGAGGTTTCTGGGACAGAGAGATATGACTTGGCCCAGGTTGACAGCAGTGGGTGACGTTGTGCATTGTCTTTCCCCCACTTGAGAGGACAAACCATGAGTAAGATAGAGATCTCATGTCTGCATCAATCTGAACAGTGTGCTGTGTTTCTGCAGTCCCCATGACTGATTATTAGTCGTATTCCCCAACTTGCAAGCACGTGCACACACAGGGCTCAACCTGTGCAGTGCACATGCCCTTTTTAGTCTTGGATAGAAAGTTCCCTTCCAAAATGATCAAAAGTGCCCCCGCGACGCGACATACCGTCCGTCCCGCTTTACAGTACGCGCGCGACAACACAGCTGATCAGAACTCGCGCGACCACATAGCTGATCAGAACGCGCGCGACAACACAGCTGATAAGAACTCGCGCGACAACACCGCTATTCAGTACGCGCGCGGCGACAACACCCGCTTTAGGGTTTTCCAGCTCTTTTTCATCCCCGCTTCTAGCAGCACACTCCATTTCCGCATTACTGGATCTGTAGCAACAACAGACCGCAAGGGATGATGGTCAAGCATGGGCTGATGGGAAATGTAGTTTTCGCTACCTCCCGTTCGCTTTATTCGCCTGAGCAAATTTTCTCAGAAGATCTATAGTTTTACCGAGTCATGCGACTTCGGTAATATCGAAAAAAATTAATATTGCGGTATGACGGTATTTACAATACCGTTACACCCCTAATATATATATATATATATATTACATATATATATATATATAAATATATATAACAAAACGTCAGCAAGTACCAAAGAACAGATGTAACGCATTGATTAAATGTAGTTTTCAGTCACGCTCACGTAAGTCATATTCAACTCGTGTAGTTTTGCCTTCATTCATTTTTGATTTCCGTCTTCAGCACATGATTTATTTACAGCACATTTTTAAACATAATAGTTTAACTAGCTCATTTCGAATATCTACCTTTTTATCCTCCCCATGTTGACAGTCCAAGTACCATATCATCCACCCTAATTTTGTGGCTCAAAAGTATCGGTTCAGCCACCATTTTGAAAGTACCGATATCGAAATAACCCCAAACGATACCCAACCCTACTAATAATTCAGGAGGGCTGATAATTTCAACTTGAACTGTATATATAGCAAACAGTGGTTTATTTGTTTAAGTACATGTATTTAGCAGAAGAATTTAAGTAGTTAAATGAACACACACATTTTAAAAGGCCTACAAGTTTTGTTGATTTATTAATGTGTGTTTGTTTTTTTGTATTCAGGGTTTTGAGGAAGAGGAGCAGGACGCTTTCGATGTGAGCTTGACGAAGAATGCTCAGGGTTTGGGCATCACCATTGCTGGATATGTAGGAGACAAAACCTCAGGTCAGCTTTAAATCATACACTGAACATTATTATTAAACAAAACTGGGTTACTCATAGTTTAGGCCACAATTCATCCTATTAACTACTTATTACCGGTCTATTATTGAGATATTAACTGTTCATTATTAGTTATAAAACATGATCTTATTCTGCATCCCTAATTCAATTCAATTCACCTTTATTTCTATAGCTGAACATAGAAGATTATAGTAAAGTGAAGCAGTGTCAGTCCAGTTTTCAGAGTTTAAGTTCAGTTCAGTTCAGTGTGGTTTAATAATCACTGCTGAGGATCCAAACACTGTAGAGCAAATTCATCAATGCACAGTCCCAAACCATGCAAGCCAGTGGCGAAAGCGGTGAGGAAAAAACTTCACCAATTGGCGAAAGTGAAGAATTAAAAAAAACCTCGAGAGAAAATGGCCACGACCATTTCTCCTATGGCCAAACGTCTTGTGCAGAGCTGCAGTCTAGGCGCCGGAGGCTGGAGAATGCTGGACGTCAGCGAAGACAGTGGTGCTGCATAGTCTTTGGCGGCCTCAAAGACTATGCAGTTTCAAACCCTGAATGACGTTTACAGTAGGTTATATATACATTAATAACTTCCTTGTAAATTGTAAGCGTTGCATTAGTTCATGTATTTACTAACAGAATAAGAATGAAGCATTTATTAATCATAGTTTGACTAATGCGTCATTAACATCTAAAGTTGAGCTGGTTAACATTAATTAATGCACTGTGAGTTAACAGGAACTACATTATTTTTTATTAATTAGCATCAACAGAGATGAATAAACACTGTAATAAATGTATTGTTCATGTCAATAAATACATAAGCTGGCATTAAGTAATGCAACCTTATTGTAAAGTGCTTTCATAATGCAAAGCCTGCATGTTGAGGAAATATCACTCCTGGCCTCAGATATTGCAATGTGTGAGGGTCAATGGGGTGAAGTCATCTGTGCGTTCTAACAATATTGGAGTACCTCAAGGGTCTGTCCTTGGCCCATTGTTGTACACAATGTACATAAACGATATTCCAGATTGCTGCCCAGGGGTTAACTGCCAGTTAAATGCAGATGACACGGTCATCTATGTGTCAGCTAAAACACCTTGCCGGGCAGGTGAGCAACTGACCCAGGCTTTACAACACATTTCAAGATGGCTTGAACTGTCTCATTTAACGTTAAATGTCAAGAAAACAGTTTCTATGTGTTTTTCTATATGAAATAGGCCTTTACGGGATACATTTGAGGTGCTGATAAAAACTAAAGTTATTAAAGAAGTGAATGAGTTTAAGTATCTTGGCATAACTCTAGACATTAGTATAAAATTTGAAAGAAAGTTAAGCCAAGTCTAAACTGTTTTCGTTTTATTAGAAGGTTTTTAACATATAACACTGCAAAATTATGCATGCACACAATGATGTTCTCTCACTTGACGTATTGCATTACATCTTGGTCACAAGCCTCTTTAACTACATTGAACTACATTCCCATCCTCCCCTTTCCTCGACATCTTTGTCATAAATAGTATTACTTTTATTTTTTGTTATCATTATTATTATTACTGTTCTGACTTGTCCTGTTATCTTTTCATTATCATTATTACAAGTATTTACACCATTATCATTAGTAAGGTTGAAGTTGTTGTAGTTGTAACGGTAGTAGTTGTAGTAGTAGTAGTAGTAGTAGTTGAAGTAGTAGTCATTGTAATAGTATCGATTGTTATTGAGTAATTGTTACGGAGATTATAGAAGTTGTAGTTCATGTAGTAATAGATGGCATTGGTATAGTAGTAGCAGAAGTAGTAATGGTGTGGTGGTTACAGTAGTAGTAGTAGTAGTCGTTGTTGGTGTAGTAATATCAGTAGTAGATGTTGTTGATGTAGATGTAGTAGAAGTGATTGTAGTAGTAGTAGTAGTAGTAGTAGTAGTAGTAGTAGTAGTCGCAGTAGACATTGTTGTATTAATTGTAGCAAACGCTATAGTAGTATCAGTAGTGGTAGTCGTTGTAGTAGTATCAGTATTAGTAGACATTGTAGTGGTAGTAGTCGTGGTTGTGGCTGTAGTAGAAGCAATAGTAGTTGTAATATAAGTAACTTTCTGTAGTAGTAGTTGGTGTAGCACTTGTGATTTATTATTATTGTTGTCAGTTATTACTGTTGTCCTTTCTCTCTTTTTACTCTCATATTTACTATCATACATTAATAAGCATTGTTGTTACTCCCTACCTCTGACTGGTTTCTTTCTATATGTTTTATCTATATCTGTGACACTTGCTTCATTTATTGACTGTTATTGTTCCTAATGTATGTACTCTGACCTGTCCACCAAGTTACCTTTACATGCATACACACACTCACACGCACACACTCACGCACATACCAGTACCTGACTATATTGTTGATGTTTTTGTTGTTTTTGTTTTGTTGCTTTGTATTTGTTATCTGTTGATGTTTTCTTGTATTTGTATGATTTTTGCATATACTAATTAAAAAAAAAATAAAAAAAAAACTACATTGAAGCCTATTGACTCGATCTATAAACAAGGAGTTAAAATTATGGACTTAAAGCCTATGCGCTGGCATCATTGTGATGTTTTATGTAAACATAACCTGTTTAGTTTTGATAGTTTTATTCAATTTAGTTATCTTAAATTGGTTTTTAAATGTTCCAATCCTGTTTTCTGAGCTAATCAATCGGCATCAGAGCTCCCACAGAGTTACACAGGCAACTGCTAACGGTGACTGTGTAGTGCCAAAGTGTAAGAGCTCGTTTGGTCAATCTGTCTTCTCTGTAAAGGGAGCCAAGCTGTGGAATGATATACCGGTTAGCTTAAAATCAGAAAGTAATCTAAATATTTTTAGTAGTGCTCTTAAAAAGTGGTTTAAAACAAAACAGCAGTGTTTGCACAAATAGTCCACTGTTAGTTGGTTGGATCATGTCGCCTTTGCTTTTGCCTGCAGTAATTTTAGGTAAAGAATTGTAATGTTGTGTATGTTTTATTATATTTCTATTTTGTCAATTTTAAGCCTCCTGTGGACAGGTGTTGAGAATAAGCAAGTTTGCTAAAACACTTAAACAAATGCATTTGGTTGACGTCCATGTCAAATAAATAAATAAATAAAAATATTCTGGCCGGTTTCTTCCAGACAGACGCAGCCTTGATGTTTACTGTTTCGTTTTTTTCACCGCAGGCCGATTTCAGCTCCATTCTGCTTGATCTTCACCAGCGTTTAACCTTTGCTGTTTGTAATTTTCCTGTCGCAGAGCCCTCTGGGATATTCGTGAAGAGCATTTCGAGGGACAGCGCCGTGGAGCAGGACGGACGGGTTCATGTTGGAGATCAGATCATAGCTGTGAGTTGTTCCTCTGAATACATGTCTGCATTATTGGGGCACGTTTGCTCATCGTGCATGTGCTCTACACTCACCGGCCACTTTATTAGGTACACCTTACTAGTAGCCCTTTTGCCTTCAGAACTGCCTTAGTCCTCAACAAGGTACTGAAAATATTCCTCAGAGATGCCCCTTTCTTCCCCATTCTGATGCTCGCTTTAAACGGCAGCAGATCGTCTTGACCATGTCGACATGTCTAAATGCATTGAGTTGCTGCCATGTGATTGGCTGGTTAGAAATTTGCATTGAGGAGCAGTTGGACAGGTGTACCTAATAAAGTGGCCGTTAAGTGAACATGTCCTTCTCTGTTGTGCATATATCACAAACAAGAAGAGAAAAGCTGTCATGGGCGGGCTATAATGTGTGTGCGTGCAGGTGGACGGTGTGAACATCCAGGGTTACACTAACCAGCAGGCTGTGGAGGTTTTGAGACACACTGGTCAAACTGTAAACCTGCAACTGGTGCGCCGCGGCTTTAAGCCAGAGGACGCCTGTCCGTCAATCATTCCTGTCGCTGTGGAGACAGATCCCGCCCACAGCTCATCCAGAAACTCGACAATGGAGCGCATGAACGCAAAACATGGTAACAAACACACACACACACACACACACACACACACACACAGCTGCACAGACACTAACACACACACACACATGCACAACATACAATAAACACATACAGACACGCATATACACACACAGCTGCACAGACACACACACACACACTCACATGCACAACATACAATAAACACATACAGACACGCATATACACACACAGCTGCACAGACACTAACACACACACACACATGCACAACATACAATAAACACATACAGACAGGCATATACACACAATCAGCTGCACAGACACACACACACACACTCACATGCACAACATACAATAAACACATACAGACACGCATATACACACACAGCTGCACAGACACACACATATACAAATGCACACAGACATGCAGATATGCACACATGCGCACACAAACACACAGGCATGTAGATGTACACACATTCCCACCCACACACAGCTACACAGACACACACCTGCACACACACACACACAATACACACTCACATACACAACATAGAATAAACACACTCACAAAGACACTCAGACATGCAGATGTACACACACACGTTCACACACGCACACACACACACACACACACACACACACACACACAACTGCACAGACCCACACATAAACACACTTGCACAGAAACACAGACACACACAGCGGAACAGAGAAACAAACAGACATGCAAACGCACACACACACACACACACACACAGTACACACTCACATACACAACATACAATAAATGCACAGACACTCAGACATGCAGATGCACACACACTTTCACACACACATTATCACACGAACAACTGCATAGACACACATAGTAGGCACACACATGTGCACACAGAGATATGCAGATGCACACACACAGCTGCACAGACACACACATGCACACAAACACAGACACACACACACAGTACTCACTCACATACACAACATACAATAAACGTACACACACAGACACGCAGATTTACACACACACAGCTGCACAGATGCATACACACATGCTCATTAACACAGATACACGTGCACACAGGCACACACACACATAGAGAGATATGCAGATGCACACACTCACACACGCGCATGCATGCAGATGGACACATAGACACACAGACATGCAGATATACACACACGCACGCAGCTGCACAGACGTGCACACAAACACAGACACACACATAGACACAACACACAATAAAAATACATCTCACACACACACACACACACACACACACTCATTACATAAAAGTCATGTTGCGTTTTCCTTCAGTTTTGTGTTCATCAACTTCTGTAATCTACACACACACACACACAAAAACACACACACACACACACACACACACACACACACACACACACACACACACACACACTGAGGAGAGAGATAGCTGGAGGTCATTTCACACACTCATTCGTCACTGGAGATGGAAGGTCAAGCCCAATGCGCTGTGATGCAGATGTGTGTGTGGGTGTGTGTGTGTGTGTGTGTGTGTGTGTGTGTGTGTGTGTGTGTGTGTGTGTGTGTGTGTGTGTGTGTGTGTGTGTGTGTGTGTGTTTGTGCCACAAACTCTGCACCTTATTTAGAGGTCGACTCCTCACTCATCCTCTCATCACAGACACAAGAAGCCTGTTATTATACACAGAGCTCACAACAGAACTGTATACTCCGCTCTCCGTGTGTGTGTGTGTGTGTGTCTCTCGCTTTGTGCCTGTGTGTATGTGTTCTCTGTGTTTAACAGTCTCTCTTTCTGTGTGTGTGTGTGTGTGTGTGTGTGTGTGTGTGTGTGTGTGTGTGTGTGTGTGTGTGTGTGTGTGTGTGTGTGTGTGTGTGTGTGTGTGTGTATGTCTGTCTGTATCTGCTTGTGCGTGTGTTTGTGCACGTGTGTCTGCATGTGTGTGTGTGTGTGTGTGTGTGTGTGTATGTGTGTTTTTGTGTGTGTGTATATATTTGTGTTTCTGTGCTGGTCTGTCTTTGTGTGTGTGTCTGTGTGTTTTTTTCCTCTGTGTGTCTATGTTTGTGTGTGCATTTTTCACTCTCACTGTTTGTGTGTGTGAGCGTGCGTGCGTGCGTGTATGTGCATGCATGTCTGTGTGTCTATTTGTGTGTCTTTCTTAGTGTGTGTGTGCATGCATGTGCGTGAGTGTGTGTTTGTGTGTGTCTTTTTTCTGTTTGTTTATTTTGTGTGAGTGTGTGTCTTTCTCACTGTGTGTGCGTGAGTGTGTGTCTGTGTGTGTGTATGTGTGTGTCTTTTTTCTGTGTGTCTATTTGTATTTGTCTTTCTTACTGTGCGTGTGTGTGTGTCTGTGTGTGTGTGCGCGTGAGTGTGTGTGTCTATTTGTGTGTGCGTGAGTGTGTGTGTGTATATGTCTCTTTCTCTCTAACTGTTTGTGTGTGTGTGTGTGCAGAAGAGCGAGTGTTTCTCCCTCCTGAGGAAAACTCCAGAGTTCAGTCCTCCTCCATCAGAGCTCCAGAAAGTGTTGCGGGTGAGAGAAAGTTTTTCTTCTTCTGTGACTCTGAGCTCAACCGGTGGACGTGGATAATGTTGGCATGTCTCAATCAGGTCCTGTGAAGCTGAGCGCTCAGGAGGAACTCGCACTTCAGCAGAGATGGCAGAATCAGCTCGGCGTCTGCTCTCAAGTCATCGTGAGTAAAACCATTACAACAACTCGTCAGATCATTTGCTCAGTGTGCGTTTCTGTGTGGAGTTTGCATGTTCTCCCTGCATTCGCGTGGGTTTCCTCCGGTTGTTTCGGTTTCCCCCACAGTCCAAAGACATGCGGTACAGGTGAATTGGGTAGGCTAAATTGTCCGTAGTGTATGAGGGTGTGTGTGGATGTTTCCCAGAGATGGGTTGCGGCTGGAAGGGCATCCGCTGTGTAAAAACTTGGTTCATTCCACTGTGGTGACCCCTGATTAATAAAGGGACTAAGCCGACAATGAAATTAAATGAATCAGATCATTTGGAAGAGAAAGGTGGCATGGTGGCTTAGTGGTTAGCACTGTGGCCTCACAGCAAGAAGGTCGCTGGTTAGAGTCCAGGCTGGCTCAGTTGGCGTTTCTGTGTGGAGTTTGCATGTTCTCCCCGTGTTGGCGTGGGCTTCCCCAACACATGTGCAATAGGGGAATTGATGAACTAAATTGGCTGTAGTGTATGTGTGTGTGAATGGGTGTTTCCCAGTTCTGGGTTGCAGCTGGAAGGGCATCCGCTGGATAAGTTGGCGGGTCATTCCACTGTGGCGAGCCCTGGTAAATAAAAGGACTAAGCTGAAAGAAGATGAATGAATGATTCGTTATAGACAACTTTAGTCTTCTGTCACCAAATTATAAGAGAAAGTTTTCCTGACAGGTTAAATTCAGTATATTGCTGTTATGTAAATGAGGGTGAAAGGGAAATATCTCTGTCAGGCAGTTCAGAGATCAGAAAAGGGACTCATTTTCACATTTTATTAATTGTGGGTAACTGCTCATTAAATTCAGAAACTGTTACTACTTTTTTATGTTATAGATTCAGAGTTATTCTGTGTCTAAAAGTCTATTGGGGGAAAAAATAGCTTAAAGGGGCTAATAATATTGACCTTAACCACCTAAACTCTGCTGCTATTTGGGGATTTCCGCCTGCATTTTGCCTACCCAAATTTAAAAGCTTCCCAAATCCACATGCAGAGGTGTAAATGCAAAAATTTGGTATCATTTTAAAGAAAACCCTTTGAATTTTCATAAAACACTATTGAAAGTGTTTGAAATAACTGTATATGTCGTCTGTGTTGTAATAAACACCTAAAAAGAGGTGCTTTTGGTATTTGTTTTTATAAACTCAAATGTGAAAGTGTAGCTTTTAGGTTGTGTGTGGTCTAGCGTGCTGTAATTAATGTTGGTGGTTCCTGCACATGTCTGTCATCATAGGAAAAAAGAGAAATGTCTCCACCATAATCTATGCTAAAGTTATTGTATTCCAACTGATGAGAGGTGCTGTACAAGCCACAGGGAGCAATCATTGTTTTCATATTTCACTATTCTTTTGTTTGATCAAACATAATTCACTGTGTTTGGAGCACGTCAGACATATAAAAGGATTACTTATGCACATCAGCTCAAAAACAGAGGAGAATGGCCCTGAAGCGCACAGCATAAGGTGAGAGATGACAGCTGTCTGTGCTATCTGGGGCTGCTTATTGATCATAAATGTATTGTTTTCACTTCTGCGCCATGGAAACACCACGATTCATTCAACAACTGTTTGATATGTGAATATAATTCAGTAAAAAGAATGCTAGAACCGTATGAGCACCGGCAAGAGCTTTCATATGAGCTATAACTTGCACACGTGTCTTATGAAAAATATGAAAATGAACCAATGTTCAATACCCAGCTCGGGTATCCAAAATACTGTGTATTTAAGTGTAAATAACTTTTATACAGTAAAATAAAAACCAAAGTGATGCATATGTGCATAAAATATAGATTCTACACTTTCAAACGAAACCACTTACAGGGGTCTGGTGCAATGCTAGCCCTTTAAATCTGAAAGCGAAAGTCGATGACGTCACAGACCCGGTACCGGCTCCGCAGAGTTTAAGTGGTTAAAATGGTGTTTAAAAAATGTAAAACTGCTTTTATTCTAGCCAAAATAAAACAAATAAGACTTTCTTAAGCAATGCTTTAGTATGATTTCAACGCAAGTCTTTGTACATGAAGCCCCAGATCAATACTGGTATACACTGATTGCATTAATGCAGGCTAATATGATTCCTGATTATTCTTAATATATACGTGTGCGTCTTTCTCTCTCACTGTATGCATGTCTCTGTGTGTGTGTTCAGGTGGCTCAGGTGGAGAAGTTCAGTGAGAGCAGTGGTTTAGGGATCAGTCTGGACGTTTGTGCCGGACATCATTACCTGCGCTCCGTGCTTCCAGAGGGACCCGTCGGCCGATCCGGAAAAATCTGCAGTGGAGACGAACTGCTGGAGGTAAAACCAGCACATAATGTATTTACATACAGTAGTGTGTCTTTATTGATGTCTGTATATTTATATGCATGTGTGTGTGTGTGTGTGTGTGTGTGTGTTTAAGGTGAATGGTGTTCCCCTCAGAGGAGAGACTCATAAAGAGGTTGTTGACATTCTGAAAGAACTTCCTGTTTGTGTGACCATGGTCTGCTGTAGACCCGCCTCTCTGGTGACTGACAGCCAGACTGACCAACCACAGCTCGAGGACACGCCCTCAAATGCCATACCTCAGGTATTGAACATTCTCAGTATCTGGATTCATCATTCAACAGTAATAGTGAGGAGTAGGAGTCTGTTAGGTTGTTAAAACTCTCCCCAAACCGTTTTCCCCATCTCTCTGAATGAAATGCCTACTTTACTACATCAAATCAGCTCGCAGTATAAAAAACAAGCCACGCCCTCATTTCATTTTCCGTTTCTCTAGGAACTGCAATTTTCACAATGCAAAAACACAATAAAGGTCGCAGCTTCCAGCTGATGTGGACTTTAATGTTTTATTGGTGTAGCCGGTGTGCTTCAGTCAGACTTTCCTCTGCTGGATTATGTCAGATTACAGTAGACGTGATTATAATCTCCGTACATCTCAAATCGCTCACAGAGGACAGGCTTGCATCTCCACTCTTAAACTATCAGTAAAATCTATACTGCAGGTGCCGCTGGAGTTCGAGGATGTGATGGTGTGTGGTGAATTAGCAGACGGTTTGAAGGGTCATGTGACTGAAGAGCCCAGCGGGACGCCGTTAGCCATGTGGGAGACAGAGATCCAGGACATCCAGCTGGAGAAAGGAGAGAGCGGCCTGGGATTCAGCATTCTGGATTATCAGGTGAGAGGGAAACGGGGAGGAGCAATATATGCTAATTTAATTATATTATTAGCCCCCTAAAGATTTTTTGTGTGCGTGTGTGTGTGTGTGTGTGTGTACTTGTATACAGTGCATCCGGAAGGTATTGATAGCGCTTCACTTTTTCCACATTTGTTTTATTACAGCCTTATTCCAATATGCATTAAATTGATTGATTTCCTCAACATTCTACACACAAAAATAATGACATTGTGAATAAAGAGTTTTTGAAATTGTTGCAGATTTATTCAAAATAAAAAAGCTGTAAAATCACATGTACTTCAGTGTTCACAGCGTTTGCTCAATACTTTGTTGATGCACCTTTGGCAGCGATTACAGCCTCAAGTCTTCTTGAATATGACGCCACAAGCTCTGCACACCTGTCTTTGGGAATGTTTGCCTGTTCCTCTTTGCAGTAGCTCTCAAGCTCTATGAGGTTGGATGGGAAGCGACGGTGTGCAGCCATTTTCAGATCTCTCCAGATATGTTCAATAGGATTTAGGTCTGGGCTCTGGCTGGGCCACTCAAAGACATTCACTGAGTTATTGTGAAGCCGCTCCATTGATATTTTGGCGGTGTGTTTTGGGTCATTGTCCTGCTGGAGGTTGAAGCGTCGCCCCAGTCTGAGGTCAAGAGCACTCTTGTGCAGGTCTTCATTCAGGATGTCTCTGTACATCGCTGCATTCATCTTTCCCTCTATCCTGACTAGTCTTCCAGTTCCTGCTGCTGAAACACATCCCCACAGCATGATGCCAACACCACCATGCTGCACTGTAGGGATGCTGTTAGCCTGGTGATGAGCACTGCCTGCTGTTCTCCAACCGTAACGCCTGGCGTTCACTCCAAACAGTTCAGTTTGAGTCTCATCAGAGCAGAGAGTTTAGTTTCTGATGCTCTGAGAGTCCTTCAGATGGCAAACTCCAGGCGGGGAGTGACGTCCGTCTGGCTGCTCTACCATACAGGCCTGATTGGTGGATTGCTGCACAGATGGTTGTCCTTCTGTAAGGTTCTCCTCTCTCCACAGAAGAACGCTGGAGCTCAGACAGAGTGACCAACGGGTTATTGATCACCTCCCTGTCTAAGGCCCTTCTCCCCTGATCGCTCAGCTTAGATGGCCGGCCAGCTCTAGGAAGAGTCCTGGTGGTTAAACATCTTCCACTTACGGATGATGGAGGCCGCTGTGCTCATTAGAACTTTCAGAGCAGCAGAAATGTTTCTGTCACCTTCCCCAGCCTTGAGCCTCGAGACAGTCCTGTCTTGGAGGTCTACAGACAATTCCTTTGTCTTCATGCTTGGTTTGTGCTTTGTCATGCACTGTTGACCCTGGGCGCTTATATAGACAGGTGCATGCCTTTTAAAATCATGTCCAATCAGCTGAATTGACCACAGGTGAACTCCAATGAAGCTGCTGAAACATCTCAGGAATGATCAGTGGAAACAGAACACACCTGAGCTCATTTTAGCTAGCTAATTAACTGTGTGCGTGTGTGTTTGTGTGTGTGTCTGTGTGGGTGTGTGTGTGTGTGTGTTGACACGGCTGCAGGACCCGCTGGACCCTCTAAAGACAGTGATAGTGATCCGCTCATTGGTTCCGGATGGCGTGGCAGAGCGGGACGGTCGTCTGCTACCCGGAGACCGTCTGATGTTCGTCAACAGCATCGACCTGCAGAGCGGCAGTCTGGAGGAGGCAGTGCAGGCACTGAAGGGGGCACCCATGGGCAGCGTCCGCATCGGAGTGGCCAAACCCCTGCCTGTGAGAAACACCACACTTTTAGTACTGCTGCTGCTGCTGTCTGTGTGTGTGTGTGTGCGTGTGTGTGTGCGTGTGTGTGTGTGTGTGTGTGTGTGTGTGTGTGTGTGTGTGTGTGTGTGTGTGTCTTTGGTTTTGTGCGTACATGTTTATGTGTCTCTGTTACTAACTAGCTTGTCTACACTGTTAACGATTTTAGCAAATTACCCAGTATTTAACTGTAATATGGACAATGTTTTCCTGTAGGACATTTATGCAGTACTTTACTGTATTTTAAAGTTGCACAGTACGGTACATGTACACACAGAAAAATACATGGTGCTGTAAATGCAAATGCAGTAATTGATTTACAGTAAGCTACTGGTGATCTGCTGCCAGTTACTGTAGATTCTACAGGAAATTGTCCAGTGTATGTACACTCAACGGCCACTTTATTAGGTAAACCTGCAAATTTCCATACACATGGCAGCAGCTTGTGATGCCAGAGGTCAGAGGAGAATGGCCAGACTGGTTCCAGCTGATAGAAAGGCAACAGTAACTCAAATAAGCACTCGTCACAACCGAGGTCTGCAGAAGAGCATCTCTGAACACACAACACGTCCAACCTTGAGGCGGATGGGCTACAGCAGCAGAAGACCACACCGGGTGCCGCTCCTGTCAGCTAAGAACAGGAAACTGAGGCTACAATTCACACAGACTCACCAAAACTGGACAATAGAAGATTGGAGAAACGTTGCTGCTCTGATGAGTCTCCATTTCTGCTGACACATTCGGATGCTCGGCTCAGAATTTGCCCTCAACAACATGAAAGCATGGATCATACTGCCTTGTATCAGCGGTTCAGGCTGGTGGTGGTGGTGTAATGGTGTGGGGGAGATTTTCTTGGCACACTTTGGGCTCATTAGTACCACTTGAGCATGGTGTCAACGCCACAGCCTACCTGAGTATTGCTGCTGACCATGTCCATCCCTTTATGAGCACAGAGTTTCCATCTTCTGATGGCAGCAGGATAACACACCAAGTTATAAAGCTCAATCATCTCAGACTGTTTTCTTGAACATGACAATGAGTTCACTGTACTCAAAAGGCCTCCACAGTCACCAGAGCTCAATCCAATAGAGCAGCTTTGGGATGTGGTGGAACGGGAGATTGGCAACATGGATGTGCAGCCGACAAATCAGCAGCAACTGCGTGATGCTATCATGTCAATATGGAGCAAAATCTCTGAGGAATATTTCCAGTAGCTTGTTGAATCTATACCATGAGGGATTAAGGCAGTTCTGAAGGCAAAAAGGGGTCCAATTGGGTGATAGTAGGGTGTACCTAATAAAGTGGCCAGTGAGTGTAATGTATTGTACATCGAGATTCAGTGAATATTTCATGACGCAGCTCTGCAGTCCTGTAAGGCCTCCGGAAATGAAATCTTCTTAAAGAAACGCTGTAGTTTATCTGAAGCTCTTCATCTGTTATCTCAGCTCCATTATTTTGGGATTGCCTGCACATTTTGGCGTCTTTCCTTCTCTTTGTCTCCTGAGGTTTGGAGCGTAAGTTTTGGGTTGTGGAGTGCTTTGTGGGTCATCTGATCTGAAGATTTAATCTTGCGAGAGGCCCTTCAGACTGCATGAGCTTTTTGTTCTGCTTATACAAGTGCGATAGAGTAACATCACCTCCTAATATGGATCAAATGACTCACTTCCAAGAACCCGAAAGAGGAGAAAACATTTCCTCCTGCACTGCAAAAAATGCTTTTCTTGCTTAGATTTTTTGTCTTGTTTCTAGTGTAAATATCTAAAATTTCTTATATCAAGAAGCATTTTTTAGACAAGCAAAACATATTGCTTTGTTTTGAGAAATAATATGCCAATATTAAGTCAGTTTTTCCTTAAAACAAGCTAAATAATCTGCCAATGGGGTAAGCAAATTAATCTTGTTTATTCTTTTGACGTAAGGTTATTTTGCTTACCCCATTGGCAGATTATTTTGCTTGTTTTAAGGAAAAACTGACTTAATATTGACATAATATTTCTCAAAACAAGGAAATATGTTTTGCTTGGTTAGAAAATTCTTCTTGATTTAGGAACTTTTAGATATTTGGACTAGAAACAAAACAAAAAATCTAAGTAAGAAAAGCATTTTTTGCAGTGTGCTTGCTTTTTGAGGGAATCAGCGATTGTGAATGTTGTTGATGTCGATGGCTAAAGGAATGATTCAGCTCGCTAACTCAACCTTGCACTACTAACATGCCAAACGACAGATTTCTAACCAAATCAAATCAAATTTAGAGTCTTTATTTGTGATAAATGGGTGTTTTGATCACATGCCCTGCTAAATATGATTAATATAGTGTATATCTTACATGCAGGACTGATAAAAACAGAGAAAACCAGATTTTTGCAGATTTTTGTTCATCAAGGCTGTCCAAACTCGGTCCTGGAGGGCCGGTGTCCTGCAGATTTTAGCTCCAACTTGCCTCAACACACCTGCAAGGATGTTTCAAGAAAGCCTAGTAAGAGCTTGATTAGCTAGCCCAGGTGTGTCTAATTAGGGTTGGAACTAAACTTTGCAGGACACCGGCCCTCCAGGACCGAGTTTGGACATGCATGGTTTAAGTGAATCTTGCCAAACAACAAAATAACCTCAACACTTAACTGAATGCTTTACTGTGAGTACTCTGAATTCAGCAAAACATGCAGTTAAAGGAAAACTTCACTCAAATATGGACATGATTATTTATCTATTTAGTTAAATAGCTTAGAAATACTGCAAAATTACTCAGCTTATGGTCATGAGGAGACCATATAAGAAAAAAATAAATATTTTATGTAAACATAAAATTATATAATATTTCTTACTAATACACTGCCTTGTTGAAAATAATGTGGGCTCTCGTAGGATTTTTTCCTCAAATAAGTATTGCATTTAAGAAACAAATATATGAAGAGTTTAGTTGCAAAACGAGATATATCTGTTTTGGAAAATGTTGGTTATATGACATTATTATTTAAGACATCAACAGTCAAGTTCATTCACAATTTTTGTACATTAAACTATTATTTGAGCTCAGTGAAGGCCAGGAACACAATATTTTCAAATCCAGGATATTTTTGCTGTATTTTATGTCCAATAATAGTTTATAAATAAGTCAAAAACCAAGCCAAAAGGCAACATATTAATCTTAACATTGTCAAACATCTTAAATTAGTTAAAAAAAAACTATACATCATAAATATATGGAATAATATATACAAAGATTGATTAATAATGATAAGATTCTGAGTTAGATTTGGCCAGAATGTACACAACATAACATAACTTTTTATTATAATTTATTATTATTTTTATGCAAAATGCTATATATCCACCTTAGGCTATAATATACTACAGTAATACCATTAAGAAAAGCTAGTGAATCAATGTTTTGTTTGATAAGTAAGTTAGTTAGATAAACGACGTGTAGCTTGTTACAGAAAGAGTGGAGGGCGGCTCCTTCACACCGCTGCTGAAAACCAAACCTGTATGATCAGAGCGGGCAGAGCAGCGGTGTCACAGAGTACGCGACACAAGCTCGCCTCGCCCCTTAATTTTTAATTAATTATTTTACTATAATAATAATAATAATAATAATAATAATAGCAGCTTATTTATTGGTTGTTGTGAAAAAGCAAAACCGTTTATTTTTCTCCGTTACAACCTGTGCCCTTTATGTTCCCTTATAATAAATCCACAACAGCAAGAATTAACGTGAGGTTTTAGGCTATAAATAATAAGTGCGACCGCATAAATAAATCTTCAGCTACATGTAGGAAATTGTTTAAAAAATAAACTTACAAAGGACACTTAGAAATGTCACCTTACAGACTGGTATCTTGTGATGGGGAGGAGTGCAGATAAAAAGGCGCTCCCTGGCCTTTCTCTTAACTGACATCAGCGGAGACTTGTTCCCTGCTGCATTTGTGTATCGTTGACAGACGTATTTTGTTCTGGTCCACTTTTGTAGCGTTTTTATACATTTTTGTGAAGTTGAAGGCTTCATCTTTTATCGCTAAATCAATGAGCAAACTCGGAGCACTTCACCGGCGGCGACTCTCTTCCCAGGGGATGCTGAGCTCGCGCCGCATCCTGAACATTCTCTAACTGTTATTATGCACTTTGTAAAGAAACTGGTCTGGCAGAAATCGCGTTTTGTGAAAAAATACATTTTGTACTCGACCTAAAATGTACATTTCTAAATGTTATTAATGGCAGCAATTCACACAACTAAGGTGTCTGAACAGTGATTTCCAATAATAAAATCCAAATGTCAAAAAATGGCATTTATCGCCTTTTGCAACAAAACTTAAATATATATATATATATATATTGTGAAATGATATTAAAGTTTAACCTTAACTGATAAACTGTAATAAATAGTGTATTATATATATATATATATATATATATATATATATATATATATATATATATATATATATATATATATATATATATAATATATATATATATATATATATATTGGTATCAAAAATTGTAACTCATTAAAAAAACAACAAGTAATTGCTCCCAAAGTCCACTTTTACGGCTAATGGTCTAATGTGATTCAATGATCTATGCTAAGCTAATCTAAAAGTGTTCCAGTCAGACCTGGAGATTGCCTGAATGGATTAAAAAATGGTAAAACTCAGGTTGCATTGACAATCCAACACAATGGGCAGCACAATGAACACATTTTATAAGTGGTCAGAAACTTGTGAATAACTCATGAAAGAATCAAGTCACGTTAAAATCAAGCACACCATTGCTTTTCTTGTGAAATTTCTAATAAGTTTGATGTGTCACATGACCCTCTTCCTATTGACAAAACAAAAGTTGTATCCAAGATGGCCGACTTCAAAATGGCCACCATGGTCACCACCCATCTTGAAAAGCTTTCCCCCTCACATATACTAATGTGCCACAAACAGGACGTTAATATCACCAACCATTCCCATTTTATTAAGGTGTATCCATATAAATGGCCCACCCTGTGTATTACTGATGTAATTAGAAAAAAAAGTGGAGTGTTCCTTTAATTCGTAAAGTAAATCCTGCATGAGTCAGCAGATTGTGACAATCTCACTCATATGGCTAATGGTCTAATACGATGCAATGATCTATGCTAAGCTAAGCTAAAAGTGCTCCTAGAATACGGCTTCATCAGTGAACGAGCAGAGCTGACGGTTCCCTGTGTTCACAGGCGGAGGATGAGGATGGCTCTTCCTCCATGCTCTCGGCTCTGCTGCTGACGGAGATCTGTCATGATGATGATGATGGTGGTGAAGTTGTTTTCCGCGCTGAGCCTGCAGTGGTCAGTGCTCATAAAAGCATGTTATTAGTGCAACGTTCTTGTAGGAGCGAGATCTGAAATCTGTAAGCCTTTATATGTGATACAAAGCATGCTGCTTTACTTACTCAGAGCACAGATATCTAATATGCTTAAGTCAAGAAGCATTTTACAAGATCAATATTGGGTTGTTTTCAGAATGAATGTGCCAAAATTAAAGGTGCAGTATGATTGGATAAGCTGACATTGTGCGGGTTAAACGACCAAAACAAAGACAGCTGTTCCGGCACGTAACACACATTCTCAAAGCAGAATATCTGACTTCAGCATTGTTCTTCAGATAAACAAGAATGCTCACTGAGCATGTTTCTAAATATCTGCAAACATATTTAGTATTTTTATGCTTTAGAAGAGTCGAAAACTTACATACAGCACCTTTAAAGTAGATTTGGAATAAGTATTTGTGTGTGTATGTGTGTGTGTAATGCATTATACCAGTGGTTCTCAAACTGTGGTACGTGTAACACTAGTGGTAGGCGGGCTTCTTTCTAGTGGTACGCGGAGGAATGAAATATGGCATGTACATGCTACATATGTTTCAAAATTTATCAAAAATGATTTATATAGTATGCCATATATTTCTGAGGTAATTTGCCACATTTTTTTAACTGTGCAGAGTTGTAGCTGCTTTACTGGGCCTACTATACTACTGTATTTCAATACTGCTCATTTTGGTGGTACTTGGAGAGACAATTTTTTTCTGAGGTGGTACTTGATGAAAAAAATTTGAGAACCACTGCATTATACATAAAGGGCTCTATTTTGACGGTCCATGTGCAAAACGCAGGGCGCAAATGCTTTCAGGGCGTGTCAGGACGCGTTTTTGCTAATTTAAGGACGGGAAATTTGCCTTGCGCTTCGGCGCATGTTCTAAAAGGGTTGAGTTTATTTTCTTAATGAGTTATAGGTGTGTTTTGAGAATAAACCAATAAGAGTCTCATCTCCCATTCCCTTTAAGAGCCAGCTGCGTCACGCCAAGAGCGCATTCACTATTTACAGGACGTAAAGTAAGTCTAAGTGGAAAAACTGAGCATTTCACTAGCAAACAGTTCACAGTGTTTTAACAGAAAACTGTTAAACAGAGCATCTACTGCGTGAGAATGAGAGATAATGGATCACTTTCACTTTAACTCTTGTATACGGAAACCTTTACGCACAGACATCAATTAGCCTATAAATAAATACTTTCGTTTGTTAAGCGCAAATATTCATTTCAAAACTATTTGTAAATTCAGTTCTAATCTCCAGCAAACGAATAAATGAATAATAATGACCAAGTGTGCTCAAAAACCTGAGTTATATCCTAAAACACATGCTGTGCCCCATATGGTCTAAAACCTGACAGGTGGACAAATCTAAGCTTGTTTTTAATAAAACAAATATAAATATGGATATAATAAATAATACTGCTAATAATAATAACATTATACAAAAGCAGATTGTTATGAATGAACTGAAAAAGCCTCCCGAGATGAAGAAGACATGAAGGCGGTGATTTTTCATATTTATGTCGGCTAGAAAATAATATGTTTTGTAATATTTTAATCCTTTATATTTATATTCTATATCTATTCTTATTATATCCTATATATATCCTTAATATTTACATTTTTTCATATGTAAAGATATTTGCCTATTGCTCTCTTGTGTGTATTAAGCAGTGTGTAAGCGAGGTGCAACTCTGCACCGGAGTTTAGACCGGGTTAGTTTTGGTCTAATGAAAAATCTACTATAGTTTCTGAAAATAGCAACGCGCCAGCGGTCAGAACGCCTTCCTTTATAGAGCAGAACGCCTATGGGCGCACAAATGAGCGCTAATGCATTTGCTATTTAAACAGCGTAGCGCAACGCCTCAAAACCTCTCTTGCGGCAAGCTGAAACTACCAAAAGACTACTGCGCTGTGCCCTGCGCCACACTGCGCCAGGTGTATGATAGGGCCCAAAGGCTTCAAGTATAGCATTACACATTTAGGTTTATGTTTAGTAAAAGATCCATCTTGACATCACTAAAAGCTCATTGAAATTGCATGATGCTTTTATTTGGTGGTTATCCTAACACACTCTCTAACATGTAGCATCTTTTTTCCTACCGTTGTTATAATTTTCACCTCCATACCTTCGTCTCCAGATCGACTCCAGTGATTTAGATCTGTCTGATGAGAAAGCGTTTGAGCGCCACTTTCTGGAGGAGGAAGAGGAAAATCAGCAGTCGATGATCGCTGAACACGGCAGTTTCTGCAGCGCTGATCTGACCTATCAGACAAACAGACACACCTCCACACTGCAGGTATGCATATCTAGCAGCCAATCACATTCAAACACGCTCAACTCACATCCAATCAGATAAGCGGACACGCCTCCACACTGCAAATATGCACATTCATCAGCCAATCACATTTAAACATGCACAACTCACATCCAATCAGATAAGCAGACACGCCTCCACACTGCAAATATGCACATCCATCAGCCAATCACATTCAAACATGCACATCTCACATCCAATAAGATAAGCACACCTCCACACCGCATGTATACTCATCCGGCAGCCAATCACATTCAAACCTGCACAACTCACATCCAATCAGATAAGCAGACACGCCTCCAAATATGTATATTCAACAGCCAATCACATTTAAAACACACACATCTCACATCCAATCAGAAAAGGAGACACGCCTACACACCGCAGGAATGCTTATCCAGCAGCCAATCACATTTAAACATGCACAACTCACATCCAATCAGACGAGCAGGCACACTTCCCCACTGCAGGTATGCACATCCAGCAGCCAATCACATTCAAACATGCACAACTCGCATCCAATCAGATAAGCAGACACGCCTACACACCACAAACATGCACATCCAGCAGCCAATCACATTCAAACACGCACAACTCGCATCCAATCAGATAAGCAGGCACCCCTCCACACTGCAGGTATGCACATCCAGCAGCCAATCACATTCAAACATGCACAACTCGCATCCAATCAGATAAGCAGACACGCCTACACACCACAAACATGCACATCCAGCAGCCAATCACATTCAAACACGCACAACTCGCATCCAATCAGATAAGCAGGCACCCCTCCACACTGCAGGTATGCACATCCAGCAGCCAATCACATTCAAACATGCACAACTCGCATCCAATCAGATAAGCAGACATGCCTACACACCACAAACATGCACATCCAGCAGCCAATCACATTCAAACATGCACATCTCGCATCCAATCAGATAAGCAGGCACCCCTCCACACTGCAGGTATGCACATCCAGCAGCCAATCACATTCAATCATGCACAACTCCTATATTGACCATATAAACTAATAGACTAAATTGGCCGTAGTGTATGAGCGCAAGAGTGTATGGGTGTTTCCCAATACTGGGTTGCAGCTGGAAGGGCATCAGCTGCGTAAAACATATGCTAGAATAGTTGGCGGTTCATTCCGCTGTGGTGACCCCTAATTAAAAAGGGACTAAGCTGAAGGAAAAGGAATGAATGAACTAAAGTGTTACTCATAATCAAACGTTCCAGCATCAGAGCAGTTTGGAATGGTTACGCTGTGTTTGTGTGGTGTTCTGCTGTCGTTTTCTGTGCTGGAGCTCGTCCCGCTGACCTCTTTCATCAGCGCGCCCTTGACTTCAGGCTTTGATGTGCTGTCTGATGAGGATTTTGACCTTTTCTCCTCACAGGAAGAGGATTTTCTTCCAGATCAGACAGCGGATGAGAGCCAGCAGATAAACGGCACCGCGGGCTTCCAGAGGACCATCACTGTGGTCAAGGGCAATGCCAGCCTGGGTAAGACAAAAACTCTTCATCACAGGAATAAAACATAATAAAAATGTACCAAGTGGTGTTTATGGAGAGATTTTATCAACACATTTTGTAACTTAAAGAGCCTCTATTATACATTAAAATGGTCATATTTTTGGTTGTAAGGGTTTCCAACCACAGTCGAATATGCAGGCAAGGTCAAAAACACTTTCATGGTCTTATAATCTGCATTTATTTTTACCTAATCATCCAATTGTTCTGAGACTCATTTGTTCCCAAACCCCTCGCGAAGTTATTCTGCACTGATTAAACCAATGACAGCAACCCAGGCTCATTGTGGAAACGTAGTCCCGCGGACGTTTCTGGAGACCGCGGAATACGTCCCGGCGGGTACGTACGGCTGCAGTTTTTGTTTTCGCAAATCAGCGAGAGGCCGATGTTGTTCGCTTTTTCGCACCTCAGACGCCTCTCACGAGTGTGGTTCGCGGCCGCGCTGTTCTCGCGTGAACCCACCGGAGGCCGCTGTCCGGATGATTGACTGCGCGACTGGCCAATCGGCCGACCCGCCCTCCTCCTTCCCTGAACCCAACCAATTTTACCGATCGACCCGCTCGCTTCCCTAAACCCGAGCAACAGTTTACAAAACCCGTCCAAAAAAATAAAAGCCCCGATTTTTTTTTTCTACCGCATTTACGAATTTCACCGCGTTCTCACCCGGTCACTCGTACACTTAATTTTTGGGATTCTGTTTTCGTCTTACCTGATTGCTGGAACCGCTCTTACCTGGACTCAAAACCGGTCGCCGTGGTCAACTCCTCTCCGCATCTTGAGCCTGCCGAAGTTACACGGTGAGCTGAGTGGACAAACGGGTTGCAGCGGGGAAGCCCTCCACAAGGAGGTAAGGCAAGCGCGAAAGGGAACGGCATCACACCGCCCCGCAGCGTTCGCTTGAATAAAATTAATGCAGCCGTACGTACCCCCCGGGACATATTCCGCTGTCTCCAGAAACGTCCGCGGGACTACGTTTTCAGAATGAGCTTGGGTTGGTGATTTATGTAGCTGGAGGTACGTATGGCTGCATTTCATTTTTTAAGCGAACGCTAGGGGGCGGTGTGACGCCGTTCCTTTTCGCGCTCGCCGTCTGGCCACTAACCTCCATGTGGAGGGCTTTCCCGCCGCAACCAATTTGTCCGGTTAGCTCGTCGTGTACGTCGGCGAAGTTGAGAAGCAGAGGGGAGCTGACCACGACGACGGTTATTGGGGTACGTTATCAGAATGAGCCTGGGTTGTGAATATACTTATGTGTGAACTCACTGTCAGTTTATAAGACACTTAATTGCATTAATTGACCTAATCAGCAATGGATATGAGAAATGAAGTGCCAAATGCTACAAGACACTTGACACTTGCAAAAATAACTGTGAATATGGATTAAAATACAAAGTATAATAAATATGAGGGCAATATTTCTCACTGTATTCATGCACCTGGTAATGTAATGGTATGTTTCCCCAGGCTGCTGGTCTTCAGGTCTTCATTTTGCATTTCACTAAATATCCACATTTGTATTTTTGGCGATGGGATCATTGAGCAGTGGTTTGGGATGCTTTATCCCGGAGCAGCAGTTTAAGGCCGTCTGCTTTCACCATTAGTCTATTAAAATTTCATATGAGGGTTTTCTACATTCATTTGAGGACGCTTAGCAGCCGTTTACAGCCAGACTCTGCTTTACTATCACAGATGCTGACCCACTCCGCTTCCTGATCTACGTTTACAAAGTAATCTACATTTATAGGAACACTAGTTTTTTATTTTATTTTTTATTTTTTGGAAGTAGGGTAATTTACAGCTTTCCTAGAGTTAGAGAGTTGAGTTTTATCATATGAGTCCATTCAACTGATCTCTGGGTCTGGCGAAAACCCTTTTAGCTTAGCTTAGCATACATAATTGAAACGGATTAGACCATTAGCATCTCACTCAAAAACGAAAGATATTTTGATAATTTTCCTATTTAAAGCTTGATTAGTCCATTTATTCATCAGGGGTCGGCACAGTGGAATGAACCGCCAACTTATCCAGCGTATGTTTTACACAGTGGATGCCTTTCCAGCTGCAACCCAGTACTGAGAAACACCCATACACACTCATTCACACACACACACTACAGCCAATTTAGTTCATCAGTTCCCCTTTTGCACATGTGTTTGGACTGTGGGGGAAACCAGACTCCACTAAAAAAATGCCAACTGGCCCAGCCAAGACTCGAACCAGCGACCTTCTTGCTCTGAGACCACAGTGCTAACCACTGAGCCACCATGCCACCAAGTTAAACTTTGTATAACTAAAAAGATTTTTGATTAAACTTAGTTGAAGTAACATAAAACCCTTTGTTTCCGTGACTTCTTGTCATGCAGTGTAGTTTGACCAAGCAGTAAGCTCATTGTTTGGAGTGCAGACTGTGATGTTTGCAGTGGTGTTTTTTAGGAATGACGGTGTGCGCGCTGAAGGACGGTCCAGGGATGTTGATCCGCAGCATCATTCACGGCGGCTCCATCAGTCGGGACGGCCGGCTGCGGGTCGGGGATCTGATTCTAGCCATTAATGGAGAGCTGACGGGGAATCTGACCAATGCACAGGCCAGAGCCATGCTGCGCAGACACTCTCTGATCGCATCGGACATGGGGTGAGAAACACTCAAACACTCCTGTTCAACACTGGAATAAAAAACATCCGGTTGTTTTATTAAAAAATTCAATCTTTTTTTTTTTTTACTTATAATTATTATAATTTTAATTTATAAGTAGCTGTTTATTAATAGCTTATAGAATAGGTATTGGGTAGGTTTAGGGATGTTGAATAACATAACATAATAACATACTTGGATATAAGATAATAAGATCATGATAATGTCATACTAAGACCATAAGTGTTAATAAACAGTTAATATCTTAATGTTAGGAAGGTGATAAGACAGTAGTTATGGTGTGAGTTTGGTACTTAAACTAAGGTGTTACCCAGTCAATTAACAGTTTCTCTTCATTTATGGTTATGCAGTCATACATAAGTGCAACTTTTATCAGTTGCTCTGCTCACATTAAATGTTGAAAATACATTTCTGAGTTTAATAAAGTGACATTTTAGTGGTCTGAAGCAGTATATTGTATAAGAAATAGGTCAGTCTACTGAATTGGCCTCTTTTGTTGTGGAAAAAATGTCTAAAAAAACAATTTCTTGTGAGAGAAACTTTCAAACACTCCTGTTTTACACTGTAGAAAACATGGTCACACTTTATTTTAATGTACACTTGACACAATTTTTGAACTTTTAACGGATAAATATTTCATAACGTAAACTTATGAATATTTAAACTTATTATTAGCTGCTTTTTAATAGTTAATACAGTAGGTATTGGGTAGGGTTAGGGATTATGGAATACGAATATAGTTTATAAGTGCTAATAAACAGTTAATATGTTAGTAATAGTGAATTTTATTAACATTTTAGTAATAAATGTCTAAAAACACACTCTTGTTTAATACTGTAAAAATGGTCACACATTATTTTAATGTACAACTCATACTAATTTTGGACTTTTAGCTCATTAAATGTCTGATTAGCTGCTTATTAATAGTTAATACAATAAGGGATGTGGAATAAGATTATACTTTATAAGTGATAATAAACAGTTAATATCTTAATATTAGGCAGTTAATAAGACAGTAGTAATGGTATGTATTATTATCTAAGCTTAAGTGTTTCCCCGTTAATTAACAGTTACTTTTTAGGACTTTTATCTCTTGATCGGTTAAGTTTTGATGCTGAAAGGTCATCTCTGTGCTTTAAAAATGTGACTTTTACTGACATTTTAGTAGTTTGAAGCAGTATATTGTTTAAGAAACGTGTCGTTCTACTGAATTGGCCTCTTTTTTGTGGAAAAATCTCTAAACAAACTATTTCTTGTTAGAGAAACTTTCAAACACTCCTGTTTTACACTGTAGAAAACATGGTCACACTTTATTTTAATGTACACTTGACACAATTTTTGAACTTTTAGCTCAATAAACTTATTATTAGCTGCTTTTTAATAGTGAATACAGTAGGTATTGGGTAAGGTTGGGGATTGTGGAATACGAATATAGTTTATAAATGCTAATAAACAGTTAATATGTTAGTAATAGTGACTTTTATTAACATTTTAGTAATAAATGTCTAAAAACACACTCTTGTTTAATACTGTAAAAATGGTCACACATTATTTTAATGTACAATTCATACTAATTTTGGACTTTTAGCTCAATAAATGTCTAATTAGCTGCTTATTAATAGTTATTACAATAAGGGATGTGGAATAAGATCATACTTTATAAGTGATAATAAACAGTTAATATCTTAATATTGGTCAGTTAATAAGACAGTAGTAATAGTATGCATTAGTTTCTAAGCTTAAGTGTTTCCCTGTTAATTTACAGTTGCTTTTTAGGACTTTTATCTCTTGATCTGTTGAGTTTTGATGCTGAAAGTTCATCTCTGTGCTTTAAAAATGTGACTTTTACTGACATTTTAGTAGTTTAAAGCAGTATGTTGTTTAAGAAACGTGTCGTTCTACTGAATTGGCCTCTTTTGGTGTGAAAAAATGTCTAAAAAAACAATTTCTTGTGAGAGAAACAGCAGAACTAAACTAAATACAGTCTCCATCCGAATGAGTTTGAGCTTAATTGTTTAACATCATCAGGAAAATAACATTTTCTTCATGCTTGTATTCAAAATATTTCTTTTTATTATATATATATTTGTCTTTGGAAACCCAAAATGTAAAAAGGTAAATTTGCAAACATAAAAAACTTACTTCTCCAGTTTTGTCTTGGTCTTGTTTCTACTCCATATATCTAAAAGATCTTAAATCAAAAAGCATTTTCTAGACAAAGAAATGTTTTGTCTGCTTATCATTCATCTGTTAAAATGAAGTGAGTAAATAATGAAATAACCTGCAGTTGGTGTTAGCTGAAAAGTCTTAGCTGAAAACTATAAATGTGAGCACTCTGATCCGTTCATCTAACGCACAGGTGTCAAACTCAGTTCCTGGAGGGCCGCAGCTCTGCACAGTTTAGTTCCAACCCTATTTAAACACACCTGATCAAACTAGCTGAGTCCTTCAGGCTTGTTTGAAACCTACAGGTAAGTGTGTTGGAGCAGGGTTGGAACTAAACTGTGTAGGGCTTCGGCCCTCCAGGAATTGAGTTTGACACCCCTGATCTAATGTAATTCCATCATTGACGCAGTGAAGAGTGATTGAGCGTGTGTGTGCGTGTGTAAATGCTCTTGCGTCTCCAGATCCACAGGTGCAGCAGGTGAAGAGCTCAGCCTCATCTCTGTGTGAGTACAGCCTTCATCTGGGCTTGATTCTCGCTGTCTGATCTTCGACTCACACTCCGTTTCTTCTGCATTCTGGCCCATCGCTGCAGTTTTTACAACTCAGGCTTGTTGGAGATATGTGCCCTGGGCTACATTTTTGAGAACCGAGAAATATGTACATGTATATTATTTGCTTGCAGTTTTTGTTGGACGCTACATACATTTAACACACAAATACAATTCATTAAATATGTACACATAGACATCAATTAGTTAAAGTTATTAGGGTGGCACGGTGGCTCAGTGGTTAGCACTGTTGCCTCACAGCAAGAAGGTTGCTGGTTTGAGTCCCAGCAGGGTCAGTTGGCATTTCTGTGTGGAGTTTGCATGTTCTCCCCGTGTTGGCGTGGGTTTCCTTTGGGTGCTCTGGTTTTCCCCACAAGTCTAAACACATGCGCTATAGGTTTTTTGAGAGTGTGTGTGAATGTGAGAGTGTATGGGTGTTTCCCAGTACTGGGTTGCTGCTGGAAGGGCATCCGCTGCGTAAAGCATATCCTTCCGCTGTGGCGACCCCTGATAAATAAAAGGACTGAGCCCAAAAAAAAGAGTGAATTAATTAAATTGAAACTAATTTACTAATTAAAACTAATTAAATTGAGACCACTGGAGATTTTTGACTCTCAAATATGTTACTGGGCACATTTTCTTATATGTGGCATTTTGCATGAATCCACAAGAGGGCGCACATGTAATGTAAATGTAAATGTGTACATTTATCCCATTCTCAACGTCTTTCTAGTGCTTGTCTGTGTAGGAAGCCGGTCAGCTTGATATCGACTGACTTGCACCCTTCCTCAAACCCAATCCTAAACCCTTACCCCTAATCCACCCTTCCTTAAACGTTAACCCTTGCCTTAAAGCACCCTAAAACTGTCGGCCCACGGGCCATTTACAGCCCACCCTCCTCTTCCCTCCGGCCTGCAGTTCGCAGACGCCCCCTGCTCTTCAGTTCGCAATCGTCTCTCTCCTCCCACGTGTACTTCAGTCCGCGACTGTCAACCAGCCCCCCTCCCACCTTCTTAAGTTTCTTAAGTTTGCGATCCCCCTCCACTTTTCATTCTCACGACTGTCAACCAGACCCACCCCCCCTCCGCACCCCCAACCACCGCTCTTCAGCTCTGTTCAGTTTTCTCAGCACATGCCTCTTATAAAGTGTCTGTACAGTACTGACCCAAACCCCACCTTCCGGCCTTTACTTCACACGATCGCAAGCATTACTTACGGATGTTAAGACGGCCCCTTCTATCATTTGTCAGTCTCCGAAATGGCCCCCCGCCAAATAGAGTTTGAGACCCCTGCCTTAAAGGGATTTTGGCACAGCATGAAAAGTAACAGATGTTGTCGGTGCTGTCAAACCACCACCTAGCTTTTGTTTTCCACATAAAATGCAGCCATATGTACCCTCATGCACATATTTCTCAGTTCTCAAAAATGTAGCCCTGTGCACATATTCCCGACAAGCATGTGTTCGTTTTTCTGAGTGTTTGGGGCTCACGCTGCTTTTCATTCTGCTCTAATCACTAAAACTGGAATCAGTGTTACTTTAATTTTTTACTTTAACCTGTACTCATCCTCGTCTGCTTTCAGCCTGCATGGTTTTCTTTCTTCCGCTGAATGCACTGACATTTACACTGTGCGGTACACTTCTGTGAGTAATAAACAGGATATTTCACCCAAAAATGATATTTACTAGGCATTAACTGGTAAACAAAGGAGATGCAGAATATATTTTGAAGAACTGATGGCATCGATTGATTAGCATTGTAAAAATGACATTTATTTTCATAATACGACTACTTTCATTATAGTCATAATATATAACAAAAACTGCAAATACAGTTCTGAAAAAGCTATAAGCATGTTATAAAATGAACTTTTATGAACTTTTTAAACCTTTTTTAATTGACAAATGTACAAAGAAGAGATTTTCAGGGTTATTCAACCTTTTTTTGAGTGTGTTTCATCCATCAAAATGTTTTGTGCTTACCAAATGTGTTTAAGTTAGTCGGAAAAAAAAACCCTGGAAATCTGATCTCTGTGCTTTTGTCAATAGAACAACAGTCAATTAACAAAATTAAAGAATTAAAGGTGCTGTATTAAAGATTTTGACTTTTCTAAACCATAAAAACAACATGATATGTTTGCAGATATTTAAGAAACACGCCAACATTCTTGTTTATCTGAAAAACAATGCTGAAGTCAGATATTCGGCTTTGAAAATGTAAGTTACATGTCAGAACAGCTGTCTTTATTTTGGTCTTTTAACCCAAAGCCAGTTTAATTATATTTCAGCACTTCGGGTTGCCTTGGTGGAAAACCATTTATTTTATTCATTTAGACAGGAAGACTCTTTAAGTGTGCATCCGTGACCAAAATGCGCCCTCTGGTGGATAGTACCAGACTTCGAAATGAGACGCAGATTCAGAGTTCCACATGAGGTGGTTATTAATTAGCTAATGAAATAAATATTATGACCGTAAACATTAGGTGAGCAGGTAACACTGTAACCCTGTGTCCTAACAACACGCTACATGAGGAGATTTGCAGAGATGAGCAATGTGACTGTTTGCACCAGACGAAACATGACAGAAATGTAAACACAGCCATTCAGAAGCACAGAATAGTGCACTCGCTGCACTCCAGCCAAATGGTAAGGTTTATAATCTCATTAATACATATTAAACCTCTTTAACATTATTAAATGTAGATGCTGAATCACTGATATGTGTTGGTTTTGAGTCTAAAGGTCAATTTTAAATGGTTTATTATTGTTTCCATATCTGAGGTGAACTATCTGCTGCTGCTTTCAGTAGTACGGCAATAAATGTAATGTAAAATGACATTCAAACTGACATTATTAGCATTTAACACTGAATAAAGCACATGAGCTGTTCCTGAGCTGATCATTGTCATAGTTTTGTAATGTTGTTCAGCTGTGAGAAATAGAAGCCGTTTCTAAAAGATCAATTCGAGGTGTTGGTTAGGACAAAGAAATCCTTTTAATATAGAAAATATTCTGTCTATCGCTTATCAGTGCTTTTATTCAGAACATGACATAAATCAGCCTTTAAGCTTGACCGGCAGACTCAAGTTCAAGTTCATTTCTTGTTGGTCGTCAATCTGGAAATCTGGCAACCTGCACTTGCATTTGTTTTGATGCAGGAGTGCAATACCTAGTTCAACCACTGGGTGTCAAACGTACATACCGCACTTTTAACGATTGATTTTATTGCATTTTACAAATTGTGCCTACTTTGTCGTAACTAGAGTCATGTGGTCACCAGCATTGCTCAAAATATCTTCCTTCGTGTTTTAAAACATACACTGGCTACCAAATAAAACTATATTTTCGATAAATCTTTGCACCAAAGTTGGAGTAGCGCCTCTACTTTTAACCCAAATAATTAACTTCACCAGGAAATCAAGTTTTTTTTTCACACAAATTTCTAGTTAAGTCAATTATTTGGGTAGAAAGTGTGTCAGTGGAAGGGTTTTATTTCAACTCATGTTCACTTAGAAGCTATTATGTGAAAATTACTTTTATAAGGGGTTCAAAAAGTTGTATGTCAGCAGTGTGTGATTATAACCGGTTCTAATGGTAATAGAGTATTAATTGTATTGTTTATAATTAGACTTGATATAAACAGTTTTTGATTGACATTCTCCCTTTGTAGGTGTCATCAGAGGGAGGAAAGCCCCGCCCACTAATGACCATCTCTCTCTCATTAGCATAGAACATTAGACCTGTTTTGAACTATGCTGTCACATTCGCATTTGTAGCTCTGCCCTCTTTTAAAAATACCACAATCTCGTTAGCATTTAATGCGACAGTCACCAAAACAGCACAATTAGGATCAAAAGCAGTTTTAAAGAGTTATAAAAGATTATTTGTGTGGTATTTTGAGCTGAAACTTCACACACTACAGACATCAGAGGCTAATAATAGGTCATCTTTAAAGCGGAAGTGTGTAAGTTGTGCACCAGAGCTTTACCAAACACAAATAATGACCGTCACATCATTGTTATTTTCGTAGACTTGCTTATAGTGTCATATTCACACTCTTCTCCGAGAGGAGAGCTCTTCAATTCCGGCTGTGTCATTTCAGCCGCCGTATGAATTTTGATAGGCACATAATTGTACTGCACAGTGTTTCGACCCGGCTGATTTTAAACTCTCACATTCCAGTCAAACTCAAGGATGCTGCGTCTCGCTTTCAGCAGGATGTTGTTTCCGTGGTAACATGAGTTCTGTCCTCGAGTGGCTGTTAACATCGCAGGCCTGCGTCTGCACTAACATCATGTGCTTGAGTTCTTCATCTTTTATTAACATCCTTCTCGTGTCAGCTGTTGGATTTCCAGCCATTGATTCTGCTTTATTAATGAAGTGAACGTGAACATTTGACTGCTGTGATCCCTGTGTTGATTTCTGCTCATGCATGCGGGGAATTGTTCAGAAATGATATTTGATTTGCCTCCATTAGATCTGTCATCTTCACTTACAACGAACTGATCGAGCAAATAAGCTTTTTTGATCTGGAAACAGAAATAATTCAAAGTAAATCAGCAGGCTTGCTGTTGGCTACACTTTTATTTGGTTTGAATTTTTAGATGCAATGCAAAATGCAATTATTTATTTACTAACCAACAAAACGCCAGCTGTTAATGACAATCACAAAGTTGGTTAATTATGAAACATATTTATAACGTTAGAATATATCTTTATTTCCAAAATAAACAAGTAACACTTGTGTCATTTGCATGCCTCCGATGATGGCGGAAACTGAACTGAATTTTGCAAGTATTTTTTGCACGTAAGGAAGGCAAAATTCTGTTCAGTTTACACCATTAATTAGCTGATTAATTAACGCCGTTAATTAACTGATTAATAATTCCACCTGCAAATATGGAGACAGAGATGTTTGGTCTATCCTCGGATTTTAAATGTTGAAAATGTAAACGCATGTAAGAGTGTATGTGTGCCATTGTACACCTGTCATGTTGTTGACTGACTTCCCGGAGTGTTTGGATTTATATTGCTTTGCCTATTCTTCCGAATCCATATATAAGCATAAATATGTGTGTGTGTGTGTGTGTGTGTGTGTGTGTGTGTGTGTGTGTGTGTGTGTGTGTGTGTGTGTGTGTGTGTGTGTGTGTGTGTTTGTGCAGGATCACGTATGTTCCTGCAGAATATTTAGAGGAATACCGAGCAAGCGTGCAGCCCCAGAGTGACGATATCTCTGATGGAAAAAGCGGCTCTCAACTGTACGGTCAGCACTTAAATGCTTCTGCACTCACTCTGAGCTGCGGAATGAAAATAAAATGAGAGTTTTGTGTTTGTGTGTTTAGTCAGACACTGTCAGATCTTCCAGAGAGAGAGGATGGAGAAGGACAGGAGAGCGAACGACAAGCCAACAACTGGAATCTGCCTCGCAGGTGAAACGCAGGACCATTTTATTAGGACCATTATGTGAGGAATAATTGGCCATTGATTATTAGAAAACAATGCACACCGTGAAGCTGTGAAAGAACCTAAACCATTCAGTGTAGTGATATGGAGCTGTAATGCACTCAAAACCTGCCGGAACCACTTTAGCTGTGTGTTTATATGAAAATAAATGCACACCTTAGAATTCTCATCTGCCAGAATCCAGCGATTCAAGTATTGTTTTGAACTTGTTTCACAGGAGCCCTTTAATCCATTTGGAGCCAAAATTGGTGCATTTGTTTGGGAGAGTCTAAAGATCAGTCTGAGCAGTTTTAGACTCGATCAATCAAACCTTGTTCTTGAAACATAATTTTTTTTACACCATCATGTTACGTTACAAAATTAATAATTGTTTTGGGATTCTTACAGAATTGTTGTGCTATTAGCAGTTTTGTATGAAATGACCAAATATATAATGAATATTACTGAATATATTTAAGGAGGCATTTGCGATTGAGTTATAAGAAAACAATGCACAGCAAGTTGTCCACAATTTGAAGCATTCTTTTAGTAATTATGCGAACTGGAGTTAATTACTCTGCTTATACTCTGGTTTCTACAGATAAAGATACTGTTCAGATGTTGTATTTCAGTCATTTGTCAGATTTTTGTCCTCAAACTGCTCCTGTGTGTGGCACTAGTTTCTCACACATCTCCTCCAAAGCCTTCTGTTGTGTTTTGATGTGATTTCTGACTGTTGTAGCTGTGAAATAACTCTATCATTCAGTGTTGTATGAAGCTGTAATGCACTCAAAACCTGCCGGAACTACTTTAGCTGTGTGTTTGTTTGAAAGTAAAAGCACACCTTTGAATGCTCATCGGCCAGTCAGAATCAAGCATTTACAAAACCATATGTATTATTATGAACATGTTGTCTGCTGAGTCCACTGGAGCCCTTTAAACCATTTGGCGTCAAATTTGGTGCATTTATGTTGGCAAGTCTAAAGATCAGTCTGAGCAATTTTAGACTCCATCAATTAAATCTTGCTTTTGAAATGTAATTTATTACACATTGGCTTACATTAGCTGTGTGTTTAAATGAAAAAAAACTGCACACCTTTGAATGCTCATCGGCCTGAATCAAGCATTCAACCAAACCATAGTATAAGTATTATTTTGAATTTGTTCCACAGGAGCCCTTTAAACTATTTGGAGCCAAAATTGGTGCATTTGTTTGGGAGAGTCTAAAGATCAGTCTGAGCGGTCTTAGGCTCAATCAATCAAACCTTGTTCTTGAAACGTAATTTATTACACCGTCATCTTACGTTAGAAAATTAATAATTGTTTAAGGATTGCAACAGAATTTTTTTGCAGTCAGCAGTTTGCCATAAAAATACCAAAAATGCATTGTATATATTTGAAAATATATTTACATTAGTTATTTGGGTAATTAGTTATTTTCATATAATTATATTGGCAGTTCAAATATACACATATATTTATATCAATATTTGGGCAATCAAGAGAGCAGAGTACATTTAGTCAGAAAACAAATATTAATAATATATAAACAAGACACAATAGATGTTGCAAAAAACGAACACCTTTCCCACACTAAATTATATTACACGTTATATTCTCAATCAATGTCCTAAATGTATTTATCCTCAATCTGTGTTTTCATCCCTTATATGTGTGTGCATGTTCTCAACTATATTTTTAATTAGAAGCTGCGCTGTTTACAACATATATTTTATTGCAATTAGCATTTCAGCCCTAAATTGAAAACATTTTTTGTCCAAAATGACATCTCTAAATTTCCATTGCCATCTGCAGTCTCAACCTGCATCCGTCATTAGAGCTTAGTTTTACACTTTCTTAGTCTACGCTCAGATCCAGCTGGCAAAATTGATCAAAATACGTTTCATATGCCAAATGATTTCAGATTACCTTGTATAAGTCCATCTGATGTGACATCTTATATTCGAAAAACTTTGTCTAACTCTCACTCACCAAAATTGGCTTAATTGTGGATGAAATGCTGGATTTTCAGACCATGCCAGGTTATTACAGCGCACTTTACACTCAATCACTGGGGAAAACTCTTGGCTGATAATCAGAGCGTAGAGTGAAATCCCATAAGGCTCTGAATTTCTACCTTTTAGGAAAGAAACAGTAAACTGTTGAAGAAATATGTAAATGCCAATGACAATTAGTTTCATTTGTATAATGAAGTGGACGTCTTATCAGCGAGAACAGCTGTGGAGAAATAATGTAAACTCAGATTGATAATAAGCTTTGGCACGTTAAAGTTTCTCTCTTTGGTGAATGTTCCGTGTGTGTGTGTGTGTGTGTGTGTTTGTTCAGAGTTGAGCTGCTCAAGGAAGCTGGGAAATCTCTGGGCATCAGTATTGTTGGTGGGCGGGGCATGGGCTGTCGCCTTAGCAACGGGGAAGTGATGCGGGGCATCTTCATTAAACACATCTTGGAGGACAGTCCTGCAGGACGCAACGGCACTCTAAAGACTGGAGACAGGATTGTAGAGGTACATGAACACACACACACACACACACACACACACACTGAGTCTATGTAGCATACTTGATTCCTTAGTATGTACCGTAATATCAAAATGCAATCAAATTCACATCAAGCATGACTTCAAAAAACATTTCAAACATGCTAATTCATTTGATGACAAAACCTTGACGTCTATTTGACATCCACACATCGATGTTCTTCATTCATTCATTCATTTTTCTTTGGCTTAATCCCTGATTTGTCAGGAATCGCCACAGCAGAATGAACCACCAGCTATTCCAGCATATGTTTTATGTAGTGGATGCCCTTCCAGCTGCAGCCCAGTACTGGGAAACACCCATACACTCACATTCTCACACACACACTCATACACTACGGCCAATTTAGTTCAGCAATAGGGTAAATGCGGAGCTGGTGTTTCTTCCTATACTGATAAACTTCCGGTGACTGGTTATTGTGGGGTTTTTTTCCATTTTATACGGTTTCTTTCACAGCATTGATGTTGTAATGTCATTAAAATACAATCAGTAAAATAGACTTCAGCATTTATTTAGTTGCTTAATTATAAAACAAGACAAAATACCATTTACTCATACACACCCATCAGAATCGGCAAACTAGTGCAGAAGCTCCATTGAATATACTGGGGTAAAATAAATGCTCGTATTATAAAGACATGGCGGGGGAAATGTAATCAAATGCAGTGCTTCTTGTACAATCTGAGCCCCACTTCACATCGAATATCACTTAGGCCCCGTTTACACTGTCAGGTCTTGATGCCCAATTCCGATTTGTTGCCTAAATCTGATTTGTTTGCCTGTATGTTTACATGTTGTTTTAATTGTGACCCACATCTGATTCATGCGTTTACACTTGCCATACATTTTACGATGTCGCGCATGCATAAAGGCGGGTTCTAGCATCTGTGCCATGATGATATGTATAATCCATTAATAAATAGTATTGTTTTGTTTTCGTCTAAATATTGCGACCATCCACACAAAAATATTCTTATTATTTTATTGCTGTCGTACCATGGATATTTTCTCAAATTATCATTAAACGTGGAGCAAACAAATTACTAGATAAAATAAGAATTTAATCGGTTGTCATCAGTTAGCCGAGTCCTTGCCAGAAGCAGCCCGGACTCTACAGGCAGACTCGGGCCATATATGGTTAACAGGAATCGGGCCAGTGCTTAACAGCCGTATCACAAACGCATGTGCGCAAGCGAGCTGCGGGCCATACTCGGCCCGGATAACACTCGCCGATGCCGAGTCAAAGCCAGAGGTGCCGAAGGGCAGCCGAGCTCAGGCCGATTACTACCTGCTCTCTGGGACTAGCCACGATGGAAGAAATAGTCTTGTTTTTAGCTCTGCGAAATATGCGAAGTTGTAGTATAAGCAGTGAATGGTTCAGTCCAGATTTACCTCCAAGCAGTTTATGTAATGG